TCTGTTCACTCCGAAAGTCTAACTCGGACTGGTTTGTCCTGGCTCGGAGATCTCCTTTTAAACTGAATATATTGGGACAAAGTCGCGAATGGGGAGGTGTTTGTGGTTTTAGATCAACCAACATGTATCCATAAGGTTTCTGGGTAGCCCTTTGAAACGGGTCCATGAAATATTTATAATTTTCTGGATACATTTGCCTCGCCAAAGTCATGACGGGTTGTTTATCGATAGGGTTGTTGAAAAGAAGCAGATAATGACAATTCCTCCTTTGAGTAGGGTCTTTGCTGTAATACAAATTCTGGTTCAAGGCGATCACTGAGAGATTACGATGATGACTTCCTTCTGTAAACAGATCTGTAATGCGTGGATCTTTGCTGGCAGTAGACATTAAGTCGTCGAGTACAACGACGTTCACAACACTGGGGTTCAGAAACTCATCCTTTTCGAGATCAGGAAGAACACCTTGATGAAATTCAAGGTAGGGATAAACACAGTTTTGAATGGCGTTATACAGTGGCTGCCATCGTTTGTAGAGCCATATAATGCGTTCAGGATAAGTTTTAATGTTCATCCTCCTAGAATCTGCTTCACCAAGTAGGTTTTCCCACAGGAGGTTGGCCCAGAGACGATCATGGTAAATGGATGTAGTAGTCTAAATTCTTCCGAAGACTGGATAGCACTTTCCGATGAATGCGGTTGCATGATAGATGGTGGTGGTGCTGGTACTGGCAGTCCTACTACGAATGAAGTATTCAATGACAAATTTAATCTTTTGTATATTCTAAAAACCTATTTTCATTCGTTTTCTGGACACTCCTTCCATTGTGGTTTCCCTTGGCCGATTGAAACGTTCTCTCTTCAACTTGGCTTTGGCCTGTTCCACCGCTTGTTGGGCGGGCACGACCAAGCTTATTTTAACATCATCATCGTTCGTTTTCTGTTTCTTTTTACGCCATTCCGGATCGTACAGTTCCAAGGCTCTGTCCACGGACATCATGGCCGCTCTTCGGCCCCCCTCTCATGATCAGTACGTAAGGGTCCAGTTTACCTTCAGATTGCAACTTGAAGAATCGATACCACTTGTCGTGGTTGGGGACGTACAGTTGATATCCCGGTGGTGGCACCGACATGTTCGCGTAATCCGTCTAGGTTTTAGGAGAACCGGGCAGTAACGCGGCGTAGAGTTACTAAATTAATACCAGAACGGGAGCTGTTTCAAGTGTAGCGTCACCGTCACTGGTCCGCTGAGAAATGTGGCCAAATCGCTTCGATGGTCCTTTACATACACATCCAGGGTCTGTACGTTCTGAAGTTTGACGGGCACCTATTGGCATTGAGAAAATGTAAAAGTACCTTCTCTACTGTTTCCCGCGAGGCAAAGAACGCTCCGTTTTCGCGACTTCGTACAATTTCTTGGGTCCAGCATAACTATCAGGATGTTCTGGATCATAATAAATCTCGTTTAGATAGTTTTCCCACAGTGCCATGCCTCCGAATGATGAGAATGTGTACAGAATTCACAATACAGATAAAAAACCAAGACGAAAATACAGTACAAGGCTTTTATTTACAAAACAAATCAATGACGATATTTACAACAACAATCTTTCACGGATATACATTAACGTTTTTACCAACAGATTTTTCCCTGGCCACTTCCAGGGTTTGTCAATATGGGAATGGGAAACATGAATTCCCAATTCCCCATCTTTTATCAGCTAACTGCTTAGGATAGGATTGAATCAAGACATGTTTCATGTCTTCGTTCTGGGAAAATTTAGCCATTATCGCTTTAGTCATAACATCGAAACTGACTGTGTCCCACACTTTCTGAGTAAAAGCCTTTCACACATCCTCCAAGACATTTTTGCTTAGCTGGAACATCCTTGGAGAATGCACTTCGTACTGTCCAAATCTCTAAAGTACATTGCTTTTAGTGTACACGTAACACTGTTCAACGCAATTAAATGTGATGCCATCCAACGTAAAGACAGCTGGATGAAAGTTGCTTAATGGTGACTTCATTCCATAGAAGAATAATCAATGATCCCACATATTGTATTCATTGGGATTACAGAAAGAACAGCTCAGGAAACCCATCTGAATTTGGTGATCGTCTCGAAGAATGCAAGGTACTATGTCCTTCAATTTGGGGACGTAGTCCGGCATCAACTGAACACAACACTTCAGCCTCTCCCACTGATCCATAGAAAGAATAATTCCTTTCTCGTTCGTCAGCTTTTCACTTTCGTGATCCCAAGTCCACTTTCTAACATCCACTCCGATATCGTCTAAGGTGAGGTAGAGATTATCCCCCAAATGAATACTGTGTCCCTTAGTCCCTTCTTTCCTAGCTTCGTCCACTCGCGCGAAACCATCGGGTAAACTAAGCCATTGTTTCAAGTTCAGACTCAGACCCGACTTGGTAGGATAAGACTTGCCGACTTTGCGATACGCGACGTATTTTCTGATATGTATACCCAGCTTGCCATTCCAGATCTTGGCCGACACGTACACGTCGTTGCCCAATTCCAAATGACAACGCGGATTCGGTTCCGCCGCATTTTGCGTTGAGAGAGGCCTCGGGATATCTTTAGCCGCTGAGTTCATGTTCATCGTCGTCGGTGTCTACCAGAGGTATGCGCGACGTACACACACACACACACACACACACACACACACACACACACACACACACACCTTATAGGAACAACCCGGAAATAATAATAATCGGAAAACGAACCACGCCCCCTCACTGGCGAATGCCTCCGATTGGTTAGAATTGGTTGGAAACCTAGCTTCCTAAGCCACGCCTTTTTCGATCAAACAGGCAGGTATACAACACCCAATTAAGGATTTCCCACTCTATGTATATCCTCTGGAAGAAGCACCAAGAGTGTCCGTCATTACTCAGAAGCATTATCACTGCTGAAGACGCTGGTACCCCTCAGTAAGACATTCATACAAGAAATAGGTACTCTGTATGTACAAAATTTATTTCTTTTGATGATCTGATTGCACAGCAATACATTTATGATTCCTGAAATGTTCAAATATACATAAAAGTATATGAAAATATCACAGTAAAACAATCAACAGATTAAGTATAAAGAACTAGAAAGGTCATGCCCTGATACATTGCTGCAGGTTCCTGATGGTTTTGCTGCAAACTGGTAAGGAAGATGTCCCACAATTGTAAATGACACATTCTATGACAGAATAATGTCTTATCCTGTGGGTGATACATCTTAATGCATAAACAATAACATCACATCCTAACAGTCAGCCATTAGTAACTAGAGGTGTGACGATACAGAAATTTCACGATACGATACGTATCGCGATATCTTGGAACGATACAATTCGATGCATATCACGATATGCTTTCCTTAGTTATTTTCTTTAAAAATCATATTTTAATAGCAAGAAATTTTGACATAACCGTCAATACCTAATGAAAATTTCGGAAATTTTAAGGTCAACGATACATATCACGATACGAAAAAATGTATTGATATATTTATCGTCAGATAAATATCACGATTATCGACACTATGATACATCGTCACAGCTCTATTAGTAACAGACAGCCTCCGTGGTGTAGTGGTTAGAGCGTCCGCCCGGAGAGCGGAAGGTCGCGGGTTTGATCCCCGACCGCGTCATACCAAAAGATGTTAAAATATGGTACTTGTTGGTCCCTGCCTGGCGCTCAGCATTAATGGGTACATCAAGGACTGGTCGGCTCGGAGTCAGTATAATGTGTCTGAGTGGGGTATTCATGCTTCACTGCGGCATGGTATCTCAGTGGGCTAGCACTATAAAACCAGCTTCAGTCTGGGCTAGTACAAGCAGCCGCACCTACACATACGCACACATGCACGTCGTCATATGAGCGAAATATTCTCAAGAACGACGTTAAACCCAATTTTACCTCACCTCTATTAGTAACATTAATCAACAAATCATGAGATACAATAACAGCTTTCTGACTCTGTGGTGCATAAGGGTCCTTTATATATCAAATGTTACAGTACAGGAAAACCTTATAACAAAAGTATGAAAATTACCACACATATTCGAATCGGTGTCAACTTGTATCTATTTTTAGGTTTTCACTCCTGCCATTGTCAGATCTATAAGTATGACTGAAATGAGAAAAATGAGGGAAAATGGAAGATTTCCCCCTAATCCGAAGGGCAAATGCAACTATGCAGAAGTCTGTGACACAGATTAACATGTTAGTTCAGTCTGCATCTACCCAAGAATCATCTGATGAAAATCTTTCTTGAAAACAACTAAAATCACACATTAACCTCATCTGTGCATGTCTCATTGTCATTCATGTGAACATTTCTGATAACTTTCATAGTAATATCTGAACATTTCACTCTTTTCTTGAATTCTACAGACTTTTGTGTCAATAAAGTTCCCTTATCATATGTTGTCTATAAATCACCAACATATACTCGGTACAAGTATTTAGGTCTTGATCATAATGATTAAACATTTCACCATTTTCTCACACTTCTCAATAAAGTAGCTAGTATTAGTTACCATGGTAATCTATTTTTCTGGAAGTGCAGTTGTTGAGTCTTCCATAAGTCAGTAAAAACTTCTATTTTTGTGAGTGTTACCTCAGTACTACAACCATGACTAAGTAGATCATATTGTCTCTCCCTGAAGTGCCAGTGTAAGGGATGACTAATGTGTTAGTCTGAGAGACTAGCTTGTCAGGTGTACATACATCTAAGCTCAAGCTGTGCATGTATTGACAGGGACAGAGATGCCCGAATTGAGAGACTAGCTTGTCGGGTGTATATACATCTAAGCTCAAGCTGTCTGTATTGCCAGGGACAGAGATGCCCGAATTGAGAGACTAGCTTATATGATGTATATACATCTAAGCTAGCATCAATGCACACAGCTGGATGTGATACACACATATGAAGAACATTTGTATTAAATTTGAGCTTAATACAACAAAATTATTTTTTAGCTTCAGAGAGATTTAATATAATAAATGACACTAACAATTATTTCACAATGTGCTTCTGTCAGTAGCAATCACTCCTTCAGGTTTACAATGGAATGTGGAACAATTACCTGTTACTCACTACTAAGGAAACAACTTTTTCTGTTCCCAAAACCACAACTTCTGTCAACTTATATGATACCTGATAAAGAACAGGAAAGAATCTGAGACACCAAGGAATAACCTCCCTAGCATACTGGTTGCAGATGAACATCAATGATCTGAAAATTGTATCAATAACAATACCCCTGAGGTCACTGAGAAAATTTACAAAGTATCTGATGATATGTCAGCTTATATCACTGACAAGTAACATATTAAAACACCATTGCAGGCAATATTAAAAAGACTTATTCCAAGACTATGTCTCATTTCATGTTGTCTTGTGTGTGTGTGTGCGTGCACACAAGTGTGTTTGCAGTCTTGCATTGGGCAGCATCATTATACAGTGTAATTCTTGACACATCATGAGTAACACTATCTGAAGGTGTGAATAGCTGCCGTCCTTCCAGTTTGCACTGTTCATGGTCCACTTAGTCTGAATCCTGCGAAGGAAAATACCCAAAAGCTCATCATCATCTAAACTCAGTTCTAAGTCTCCATATTCCAACACCACTTGACTTGTCAAGGTCACAGATCTGATTGAGCATTGCCTTGAAACGTGCAGCTCCCCCTTTTGGCAAACGAGGACCAAATTGATCGAGTAGTTCCCGTGTTGCAGCCTGTCCATCAACGTGACACTGGAATGCAATATAGTTCCGAATGTCAGTCATAAGGTCAAGGTCTTTTGTGTCGACTTTGTCAGGGTTTCCGCCAATATCCTCGTCCCCCTGCTTTGACAGGTTGTGTCTGCATCTCATCTTTGACAGGAGGTCGTCGGACGACATCACAGCTGCATTGGCTGTCAGGGCCACTGTCCCAGAAATACTACCATTAAATAGTCTGTCTTCATCAGACTTGTCTGGCATCTGGAATACAGGAATAATATAGTGTACAAAACACAACATACTCTAGCCTGTCTTATGGTGTTTTGACATCACCACAACAAGTTCTTTAAAATATTCTGCTAAAAGAATAGATAATAGATTTCAGTACAAAATAGCAATTTATAACATTTTCCGAATCCAAGTGAGCTTGTGTTACGCTCTGTGACAGCCAATACCAACCTAACTGCCATTTGGTGATCACACAGTACAAGGGGTTGAATACATGGTCCTGTTCTCCCATGCCATCCTATGCATGTCTTATATTGGAACTCACCTTAGATCCAGTAGCAGTCGATGTTGCCGCCATGGGTTTGATCTTATCAGCAAGGAGGCTGTTTTTCTTCTTTCCAAACTTAGGTCTGAAAACACACACTCTGATATTGACTAATTCATTATGTGATCATCAGACAATATCAAAGTTAATGAACACAAGCTCATCAGCTTTATATTTAATGTTCATTTCATGATCATTAAGTTACCAACAGTATATAACAGAATATGTCTTTTACTGCCATTCTCTTGTCAATATCAATGACTTTGGATGCAGAGTTGCTTCCCTTAGTTATGTGAAATCCTAAGATCATGGGTTTGAAAAACTGGTTCGACTTAATCAAGTCAAGGTTTGTTTGCTTGTTTGTTTCACAAAAGCGGTAAGTGTCTAAGACCTCTATATTTGGTACTTTACTCTGACATTAGATGCCACACTGAATTAAATAGAATCCTGTTCAAGGCAGGGTAATAACCCAACTCAGCCACACCCTCAGACTTTCACATAGTCAGAAGTGAGGGTGTCTACTGTGAATATGGAAATATCCTAGCTATTTCTTGCAGGCATATCGATTAAATGCTGAACGATCATTACCATGTACACATGAAATGCACTCTGTGAGAAAGGTTATGATATGCAAACTCACTTGGCTCCTCCACCGTGCTGCCCTGTCCATGTTGGGATACCGGCCAGGGCAGAGTGGCACTGAGATCGAGACTTCTTCAGCGCAGCTACTGCCTGTTTGGCCACTTTCTCTGCCTCAGCCTCCACCAGAGCAAAGTCTGGTCGTCCTGAGCTCATGATCTTGTCATGCTGTAACGCACCCTGGATGCCTGCATGTAAGACACAAGTCAGTACGGTACCTTAACACATATATCTCCTGAACTGTGTATATATCATATAGCACTCTCTTATTCAAAATGAGTTAGTCATGATGCCAAAGATCTAGTTGATAAGACAAAAAAATTCAAAATAAAATAACCTCAATACAAAAGTAAAAGGTCAATGATGATTCAAGCAGTATAATTACTGATTTGAACTAGAAGGGACTCATAAAACTGTTTTAACAGAGTTTGTTTACATCACCTGTTTTCTTGAAGAGTTCCTGCAGCACATAGTCGTCATTCTTCTTCTCCTCTGCATCTCCATCCTTGTCCTTGTAGTCACTCCTGCGGTCCAGGTGGGGGATCCGCTCCCCTTCAAACTCTGCAACACACAATGAGAGCTTATGTACAATAGTTCTGCCAATATATCAGTTAGACTGGCCACGTCACATTGCATTCTGAACAATGCTACATATACTGATAAACATCTGTATTCATACATCAAAACTTGTGAAGTGAATACTTCTCCCTAATGGATGCATTCTTTATATCTGTGAAAGTAGACTTCTCTCTCTTTCCTACATAATCCTAAGTACCCCAGAAACATGTGATGGACTTACTAACGTTACAACATAAAACAGCCCCTGTAACAACAGTTACGGAATCACTTCATCACTCACTGGCATCTCTACTCTTCTTCTTCTTCTTTTTCTTATGTTTTTTATCTTTGTTCCTGAGTGTGTCCTTTAAGAAGGGTGGTTTGTGATCATTGTCTTGTTTCGAGGTAGTATGTGCAGCTCCATTCATGTCTCCGCCAGATTCACTCCTTCTGGTCTTGTTCTTATCTTTCTCCATCCTCTGACTTAACATCCTGGCCATTTCACGCATACGTTGAATCTCATCTGTGTCAAAAGTATTTTCAAATGAATCTTCTTTGGAGGATTTAGATTCCTTTTTCATTTCATCAAACCTGTTTACTTTTGCCTTTTCTTTCTCTTGTTTTTGACCGGCCTTGGGACCGTGACGTCTGACCCAGTCCCAGCAAAGATGGCACTGGTCTCTGTGCCCTCACCATCTCCAAGGTCAGTCAAGGTGAATAGTTCATAGATGTCATTGGATTTGAAGAAGCGACGTTGTTTAGGATCTTTCAAAACACGGTTTGTAAGAAACTGCTTGAAGATTTGTCTGAAACCAAGAAACGACATGAGATAAAACAAACAGATATGACCCACTTACACACCTGCTGCGAATTAAGAATCTGGCTTTACAAGTTAAGCTAAACAGAAATGTGGAGAGGATCACATCAAACAGTACATTGTTACCTGTGGTATATTTTCTCCTCAATGGTGCCGGATGTGAGAAGCCTGTAGATGGTGACCTGCTTTTTCTGTCCGATCCTCCATGCTCTCTCCCGAGCCTGTGTGTCAGTGCTGGGGTTCCAATCGGGGTCAAAGATGATTACACGGTTCGCTCCTGTCAGGTTCACACCCAGACCCCCAACTCGGGTTGTCAGCAGGAACACATAGATGGACGGATCCTAGCACAGCAAACACTTAGTGAGAATTATGTGTGATAATACAAAAATATTTAATGATTTATAATGCTCTGCTATTTGTGCTATTGAAAAAGAGATTTGGAATGTCAGCAAATCTCCTCCAAAATGCAACTATGTAGCCAGCATGCTATGAAGTGGAGCGAAGACTTGATCTTATTCTTAGAATATGCAACCATACTACAACTTTTTTTAAATGCTTCAACTATTCTAACCACGGAGAAATGCAAACACATGCCTCATAAGGAAACTATTTATGTTGTCTCTCAAATGTAATGTCACACTACACATAAAGAATAACATTCAGCAGGCATGCTTCCTTCCTGTATCCCTCCCCTCACAGACAGGCCTCCCCTTACAGTTCCATCATAAAACTACCTTGTTGAACTGGTCAATGAGCTGCTGCCGGGAAGCTATGGGTGAAGTACCGTCCATACGGAGGTAGGAATACATCTGCTTCTGTACAAAAAACTCCATAATGTCCAGCATCTAAAACACAAAACATTATAACTTCCTTCAGTATAACAAACTCTTCACTTGACATCATACATGTGTTCACACTTGAGCAACTAAAGATGACATGTGCTGCACTCTGATCTCAACACATGGTACAAATAGTTAATAGCATCAGCCTAATATTCTGTTATTCTGTATGCATAAACTTACAAAAGCATCAATACAACAGTCCTCCCTCCCATAGTGAGTGAGTGAGTTTAGTTTTACACCGCACTCAGCAATATTCTAGCTACAGTATATGGCGGTGGACCAGACAACCCAGTGATGGATTGATGGACACTACCCTCCCATAACCTGGATGTTCATGTCACTACAAACAGTTCGCCTCCCGTATTGCAATGACTACTACTAGGAACAGCAAGATCATGTCCATGCTCTGTCCTAACACCCACCGTTCTACTCTGACTGAAAAGCAAGACCCTGTGTCCCTGCGTCTGCCACAGCTTGAGAAGCGCGCCTCCACTACTATCATCTTCCCTGATCGTTTGTAGTAGCCATAGTCGAGCGTCTCATCCCCGTGAGTATCCTCACCCACCAAGATCCGAGGCCCGCCTGTTGACAAGTCAGGATGATTACAAACCTTCCGAAGAGTGATCAGCCCAGCAAATATCTGAAAATATATTCAGAAAAAAATAAAACAGACGTATATAACAAGGTTTTCGGATCGGTAATGACAACAGCATTAGTATGAATACATAATGACACTATCTCCAGCGTTTATTCTTGACAAAATTTTCTACACTATGTCCCTCGTGTACAATGAGTTTTAAAAGATATTCAAGATATCAATGAATGTGGCTGGTCCAAGAATGACATAGAACATAAGGTACCAGGACCATGATGCATCAGGTTAATGGTTTTCTATCTTTTTTAGGAATAAGAGTACATCCTGATTCATATTCTTTAGTTCTAAGTCTTGCCTAGTAATTGCACTTGCAGCTGTTTGTGAACAAACCAGTCAAGATACTACACAGTACTAACATATCATGTGAGTAGACTGGGAGTGGGACTGACCTTGTACTTGCCAGAAAGGATGGCCTGACATTCACGGGAGTCAAGATACTCCTGGTATACCTCCCTCTGCTCATCTGTCAGCCGGCAGAACAACACCTGGACAACAGCATGAACAACATGGACAACAGCATCAACAACATGAACAACAGCAAAATCTCCTCCATAAACATGGCAAATAAAACATCTCTTATCACATCGGTATTTGTTTAATATTGAAACTGCTCAATGTGATTACCTGTTCATTCTTCTGAGGTAGATCTAAGCCAACTTTGACATCAGCTTTCATTCTGCGGAGCAGGAATGGATTGATGGTATCTCTCAAGACAGTGGCGCACTTGTAGGCTGTCTCAACCTGTATTACAAGTACAAATGGATCATGTTCCCAAGAATGTTAAAAAGCATTTTCGGCTGAACAAATTTCACCAATGGGGCCCTGGGGCATTGACCAAATATTACTTGTGTGAAGAATTTCTCTTTCCCTTTCTTTCTAATGAAGCGCAGTTATCTATATTGTGATGTAATGCCAGCTGTTTACATTCTTTGTAAACTAAAGTGGTACCAAAGCTCTGAATTTCCCCATCTGATTGTAAACATGTCAAACTTAGCAGAGAGAGCTGGAGCTATATTGTAGTCATGGATACAGCAAAACTAACATGAGCAAATATTACGTATTTCCTCCACTTTGATGTTCAATTTTATAGGGAATAATGCCTGTGTAGATTTTTGCTGAGCAATACAAATGAAAAACAAAAATTATTAGAATTCATTTATATTTACCAAATTCAACAGAACACTGAAAAAAATAGAACCAATGTCTGTCATTTGAAAAGCATATTGGAGTATAGCAGTATACAATAAATACTGTGCAATTCTATCCATGAACACACATACTTCCTCAAAAGACAAGACTGCTCTCACCTGGACTTGGGTGGCGTTGGCATAGCCTCCCTGCACAATGGGCACAGAGAAATGCTGCAAGAAGTCCGGCAGCATGCCCAGCTTGCCAGGGAAGATGAAGTCAAACAGAGACCACAACTCCTTCAGGTGGTTCTGTATCGGGGAACCGGAAAGGATGATTCGGTGCGGCGTGCGGAACTAGATGCAACACACACAAGAATATACAAAAACAGTCCAGCTATATCCTGCATTATCAATGTTCAAGTACAACAAGTTTCAAAACTTTCTTGCCAAAATGAAAAACAATAACCAAGACTGACATAATTCCTACACTATACTGTTTGCCAATCCTCAATTGGTTACATTTGGAACAGTTTCCTTGATAGATACCAAGCATAATACCACATCAGACACCAATCAGTTTAGTTCAGACTGTTCCATATACTGTAACTAGATTTGAGGAGACAAGTAGTTAAGTACTGGTCTTCTTAATAATTGTCTGGTCTCATGCTTATGTTGATTCATGTTTCCCCCACCTGTTTACAGGCAAGCGTGATCTGTGCATTTGGGTTGCGGATCTTGTGTCCCTCATCCAGGATTACGTAGTGCCAGTTGTAGGGCAGTATGATGTCCTGGTGGATGACCAAGGTGCTGAAGGAGGTCACTATTACCCCCTGGTTCCGCACCACCCTGTACACCAAGTCTTGCTGTCACACAAAAATGTAATGTTTAGATTAAAAATGTAATTTTCTGAATAAAATTGATATTTTTTTATACTTATCCTGACTCATGCTTAATTGCTTGTCTCTTTCTTCTTGCGAATGATAGTGGAACACTTGAATCCCCTTTTGAAGCTCCCTAAAAAAATCGGACGTAAAATCACTCACCCAGTGTTATCTCCCTTGTGACTCTCCAGGCGGGAAAACCACGTCACATGTCTGAACATGCCCCTCACTCGCTCCTGATTAAGCGCCCGACACCTGGATTACAGGGAATCCAGAGTGCCATGAGAGGAGGTTGGGAGGGCTTACCTCATGAGTCAGGATAAGTATAACATATCAATTTTAATCCAAAAATTACATATTTTTCCTTATCCTGACTCATGCTTAATTGCTTGTAGAATCCAACGGAACAGGTGGTGGGTCAAGCCACTCTGGATTCCATGCTGATTTACGTCCTGCATACCCCCCTGTGGGAACTTCTTAAAGTATTATGCTGATCCTTCCTTCCAGCTTCCTCTGATGAGTTTGGGGGGACCACAACATGTCAGATTTTCCGGAACCGCTTCTCCTGACAGTAAAAGTGGATTTATACGACTTCATGATTGATTTCCGTATCAATGGATAAGTGACCCTTCTTCATATACAAGTAAGTCCTTACAAGTATAGGGTCTGTCACTCATGCTAGCCTATCTTTAGACGTGCGCACGGACTCTAAGCTCCAACTCTCTGAGTGTCGGCTTTTACAAGTCATGTGATAAAGGGTGAGATTCATCTCAGCGTCTTTGAGGAACCGTCAATTGTTGTGCTACAACAAGAGGCCCAAACTGGTGGATACCGGAGACATCCTCGGTAGGAATGTCTCTGAGGTAGTGGTTGGCAAACACCGTCTCCGACTTCCAATAGCAGCCTTCCATAATTGTCGAGATAGAGCAATTTCCATGTAGAGCAAGTGTCAACGCCAGTGCTCTTACTTCATGAGGATTAGAGGCTTGTGGTGGCTCGAGTCCCAGTAGGGTGCGACCAAAATCAGTTGCAGCTTCTTCGCCTGCTTGATTTTCTGCAACACCTGCGGTATTCGAGCTGGAGGTGGAAATGCGTAAGTGTTTAGTCCTTCCCATGGGATGCTTAGAGCATCTGTTGCCCATGCTTGTGGATCATCATTACCTCCCTTGACTCTTTCGTTACTTCCTTGGCCACGTCCTCAATTTCCCCTGTGAAGATAGATGATGCTGACCAACTACAGAAAGACAGCAATCCTTGTCTTCTCAAGGCGTCAGGCCCGCTGATGTGGATGCCAGATGTTCGGACATAAACTGATGATCTTTCTTTTGGGTCAGCAATGCCGAGTAGATCATTCTATCTTCTTCAGAGGTCGAGTTTCTGAACTTCGCGATGAGGGTTTCATTGATGGCTCTTGACCTGGCTAGACCAAAGAAGGTACATCTGATAGTTGTGTCTAGTTGTGCCAACTTTTAATCCTCTACTTTATAAGTCCTAGATCGGGAGTCGTTGATGCTCTTGTAGTTCTCATCTATCTCTGGGGCCTTCATGAAGGGTTCCATGTGGTGAATGGGAACTTCTTGGCGTTGAGTGGCGGACGCTTTGAACTTCGTTGCCTTCATAAAGGCTGTGCTGAGGTTCTCCGGTACATCCGAGACAGGATCAATGGGTGGAAGGGTAAGTGTATCAAAGTCCTCGTTTGACATCATATACGTGAATGCTTCATTATCCTCTTTAGAAGGTGATGCAAGTTCCAATCCATTTGCCATCCAAGATTTGATCTCTGTATCGGAGAATATGATTCCGCCATCATCTTCAGATCTAGAGGCTTCTTGTTCTGGAGATCGTTGCCATTGTGTCTCCTTCCTGTGTGGAGACTTGCGTGGAGACCTGCATGGAGATCTTCGTGGAGATCTGCGTGGAGACCTTCGTGGAGACCTGCGCGCAGGCAACTGATTCGGATAAGGGTCCTCCCTGGAGTCTTGAGACGTATCTCTGTGCCTTCGTGAAGGTGAAGATTCTCTTCTACGGTATGTAGGGTGCCTGCGCGCAGGCTCCTGATGGCTGTCTGTATCTGAGGAGGATGATCTGTGATGCTCCGGTGAACGTCTGGTTCTGCTCCTGCACGAAGGCTCCTCTGGAATATCTATTGCAGATTCATCGTTGTCCATGTTGGCAGGCTCTCGTGAAGATGTGGAACATCGTCGAGTGTGTGATCCTTCACGTAGGTTTCCTCCTTCGCGCAGGCTACTATCTTCAGCGGGATGCGATCTGCAGGCTGCTTGTCCTTCATGCAGGCTCGTCGTAGATGGGGCCTTCTTCGTAGCTTTCTCCTGCGCGAACCTCCGTTCCATCAGGTCCAACATCTGCTGAGTAAACTGCTGCATGAAGAAACTCTGTGACGACGGCTGCTGCTGCTGCAATGAGGACGACGCATCTGAGAGTACTGAGGCTTCTCCCAAGGACTGCTGCACTTGTGAAGACCTGCCATCTCTATCTGATGTCTGCGTTGATAGAACGTCTGACTGCGCTGAGATGACTGCTGAAGTTACTGTAGACGAAGACCTCGTCTTCTTCACTGCTACTTCAGGAATGAGGATGGGTGGCTCGTCATATACGTCTACTTCGTCTGACGGGATGATCTCTGCAGCAAAGGACCTCGTCTTGTGCGCTGCCCCATGGGAAGACTTCGCTGGAGTCTTATCTGCAGACGACTTCTTCTTCTGAGAAGACGATGCCCTAGTCTTCTTAGACTGTGATGAGGTTATAGTTGATGTTGACGACCTCTTCCTGGAGCCAGAGCTACCATCAGCCACAGCAACATGCTCCATAGTAGCAACCGGTAAATCACTGGAATGGTGAATGTCAGCAGACAGCAATAAACGGTTATCAGCGCAATCACTCAGTTTAGACATGACTTGTAAAAGCCGTCTAGACCTGTCCTTGGCACGTCTAAGAATGGAATATAAATAATTATTAAATTCAATTTCAGATAAATGCTGACAAAGTTGACAGCAAAAGCTGGAAGAACATGTAGAAGTACAATTAGGACATAATAAATGCAGATCAGCAATCGACAATCGGTATCTGCAACGAATGCAAGTTTTCATCAATTGCAAACAAGATGAAAAACCATGTCAACAATGTGAATATACAGATAATTTAGACCAAAATTTCAAACCATATTGTTGGTATATCATCCTAAATGCCGCATACAGCTAATTTAGTAGTAAAGGCCTAAATATGAAAGGATATAACGCTGTATAGGGGACCCAGGAGCTCTCACAACCGTCCTCTAGGGCAAAGAAGGACAGAGTGAAGAGTATGTGGGGTCATGTGACGGATTTTCCCGCCAAAACATCTAAAGGGAGATAACACTGGGTGAGTGATTTTACGTCCGCTTTTTTGAAGGGAGCTTCAAAAGGGGATTCAAGTGTTCCACTATCATTCGCAAGAAGAAGGAGACAAGCAATTAAGCATGAGTCCGGATAAGGAAAAATTATTCATCAGTCAATAAACATATAAATACTCTGTTTATTAATGCATAAATCATCTTTAGAAAATAGTTAAACAAATAGCAATATTGTAGAAAGTTTTCTGGTAGTCTTATTAACAATTGAGAGCTGTTCATTCTGCAATATTTAATACTTACCAATATTTTTACCAAGATTTATTTGTAAGGAATTCTGGGGTTCATTGAAATGTTTATGAGATAGTTCAGAAGTACACGGTGTTGAGAACTGTGAGTGAATTGAAGTGAGGTGAAATGCTTTTTATGGAGTATGGCACAGACATGAAACTACAAGACCACAAGGCAGTCAAGTTAAGTCCATCAAGTGGTATCACAATGCCCTACTGAGCACACCTACCTCCTTGCCACTGTATGAGCCTGATGAGTGTAGAATGGCAACCCGGAATGGAGGCCACCATTTGTGGAATTCCTTCACCCACTGATGCATCACAGTTGCTGGACACACAATCACACACGGACCCAGACCAGCACATCTGCAGGCAGAGCCAGTTCACAAACAGATCAATATACCCTACAGTCAACAAACGGATGAACATACACCTTCAGTCAACAAAAAGATCAATATACCCTACAGTCAACAAAAAGATCAATATACCCTACAGTCAACAAACAGATCAACATACACCTTCAGTCAACAAAAGATCAATATACCTACAGTCAACAAACATCAACATACACCTTCAGTCAACAAAAGATCAATATCAGTCAACAAAAAGATCAATATACCCTACAGTCAACAAACAGATCAACATACACCTTCAGTCAACAAAAAGATCAATATACCCTACAGTCAACAAACAGATCAACATACACCTTCAGTCAACAAAAGATCAATATACCCTACAGTCAACAAAAAGATCAACATACACCTTCAGTCAATATACCCTAACAAACCTTCAGATCAATATACCCTACAGTCAACAAACAGATCAACATACACCTTCAGTCAACAAAAAGATCAATATACCCTACAGTCAACAAACAGATCAACATACACCTTCAGTCAACAAAAGATCAATATACACCTTCAGTCAACAAACAGATCAACATACACCTTTCAGTCAACAAACACCTACAGATCAAAACATACACCTTCAGTCAACAAACAGATCAACATACACCTTCAGTCAACAAACAGATCAACATACACCCTCAACAAACAGATCAACAAACAGATCAACAAACAGATCAACATACACCTTCAGTCAACAAACAGATCAACATACACCTACAGTCAACAAACAGATCAACATACACCTTCAGTCAACAAACAGATCAACATACACCTTCAGTCAACAAACAGATCAACATACACCTTCAGTCAACAAAAAGATCAATATACCCTACAGTCAACAAACAAATTAACATACACCTTCAGTCAACAAAAGATCAATATACCCTACAGTCAACAAACAGATCAACATACACCTTCAGTCAACAAAAAGATCAATATACCCTACAGTCAACAAACAGATCAACATACACCTTCAGTCAACAAAAGGATCAACATACACCTACAGTCAACAAAAAGATCAACATACACCTTCAGTCAACAAACAGATCAACATACACCTTCAGTCAACAAAAGATCAATATACACAAAAACGGATCAACATACAAAAACAGATCAACATACACCTTCAGTCAACAAAAGGATCAATATACACCTTCAGTCAACAAACAGATCAACATACACCTTCAGTCAACAAACAGATCAACATACACAGTCAACAAACAAAAGATCAACATACACCTTCAGTCAACAAAAAGATCAATATACACCTTCAGTCAACAAAAGGATCAATATACCCTACAGTCAACAAAAAGATCAACATACACCTTCAGTCAACAAACAGATCAACACACCTTCAGTCAACAAAAAGATCAACATACACCTTCAGTCAACAAACAGATCAACATACACCTTCAGTCAACAAACAGATCAACATACACCTTCAGTCAACAAACAGATCAACATACACCTACAGTCAACAAACAGATCAACATACACCTTCAGTCAACAAACAGATCAACATACACCTTCAGTCAACAAACAGATCAACATACACCTTCAGTCAACAAACAGTCGACACTAAATTTGTTATTGACATGAAAAATAGCACCTGCTGTCACTCTCATTATCAACATATGTTACAGTGATGTGTTAACTTACGGAAAGTTTTTGTTGCGTAGTTTGCTATATCTGAGAGCTGCCAGGAATGCGATCGTCTGAATGGTTTTCCCCAGTCCCATCTCATCACCAACAATACCACCAGCCTCCTGGCAATGGAGCTCCCATAACCATCGCACTCCCACCCTCTGGTACCTAGGGGAGCATAAGAAGAAAGCATTACCAGACATCTGACACAAAATGCAAGAAAATACTTCTGTCACTTTTACTCTTGCAGATGTTGAAGTATTGCACATGTTATTGATGAAACATACTTGTATCAAAATAAATATTTATGAACATACTGGTAGAGGTTTTTCCAGATAATTCCTGGCACTTGGAGTCCTCCATCAAACTCCTCATCCTCCTCAGAGTCATTGTCATCTTCCCCTCTTGCATCCAGCCTTGACTCACGCTCGAACTTCTTCAGCAGCTCAGTCCTCTGGTATTCTCTGGTCAGATATCACTAATTGAAAATATGCATCAACCCCTACATCCTCTGTACAATACAATGGCATCCTAGAGCACTGTGGTATTCTCTGGTCAGATATCACTAATTGAGAATATGCATCAACCCCTACATCCTCTGTACAATACAATGGCATCCTAGAGCACTGTGGTATTCTCTGGTCAGATATCACTAATTGAGTATATGCATCAACCCCTACATCCTGTGTACAATACAATGGCATCCTAGAGCACTGTGGTATTCAATACAATGGCATCCCAGAGCACTGTGGTATTCTCTGTCATCCTGTGTACAATACAAACCATCCAACCTAAACTGCAGGTTTCATAACTATTCAATAGTCAATGACTCAACTCAGCTAGCCAGGCAGCTCTGATCATGTTTTTTTCAAGTACAGGACATTATATACTCTTCTTGTCATGACTGACTCCCTGCATGTCAATTAATTACTGTATGTACAAACACACAAAGCCAAAAGAACTGTGAAGATTGTTATCAAAGTTTGAACATATACATTGAGATAAATACACATACTTCAATCTCCTCTGGTAGTATCTCTCATCCCCATCGTCCTTGGCTTTATGGATACTGGTGTCTTTCTTAACCTTTAGCGTCGGTTGCTTCGAGACACCATTATCATAAGCTGGGGGAACATGCTTCTCAGGTAGAAATGACTTCCGTTCCTTCCTCCTCTCTAATAGCTCTACAAAAGCAGTTAAGAACCTATAAAACATATAAAACTGTTAAAAAGTTTTAATCAACCAATGGCCAATATATTTGAGAAGAACACAACCAATGTGGTGTAGAAGATAGACTGTTGGCCTGTGGAGCAGACAGTCGGTGGTGTGAGCCCTGCTCATGCCATACCAAAAGACGAACAATGATGGTACTTGTTGATGGTACAGTTAACATAATCAGATGTGCCATCCCAAAACCAATATGCACTTCAGAGTAAAATATCTCACTTCCAGTTTGGAAAGACATGTTTAGTGCAAGAAATCTTTACAACATATAGTCACCATGGCCTGCTTGTAAGATGTTCATCTTTTGTATCATGTAGGTATTTAAATAATACAATCACAGCTTGATGAAGATCTCAGGTCAGATGAACTTAATAATTAGACAATCAGGATAAAGGTTACTGTACTTTTGGTGCTATCCACCAAAGAATTCAGAGCAACATTTCTCATTAATATAGGTCAAAAGTGAACAAAAACAAAATGATAAAGGTTTCACACTAACAGTGGAGTGGACATTTCATACACTACCTAATGCATCATCCTCATCCTCAATGGATTGTCCTGATGGTCGCCATTCATCACCACTGTCAGCCATGTCGCTCTCTTCATCTCCAAATGATGCTTCCCCACTCCCGTTAGCCCTTCTCCCTCGACGTTGGTACTTTGCTTGTGTGTAGTCAGTCTCTCGATTATACAGCTTGTGGTCCCTCTCATCAAACATGTTGGTCTTCTCACCCTTCCTCTTCTTCAATGGAGACAGACCATCAACACCTTGACTCAGACTCAATTTACCATTGGCAGACAGTTTATGTTTCTTCTTATTTGCACTATCCTTTGGCGAAGTGGATGGTCGCGGTTTGGCTTGTTTCTTGTTCTTGATAATTGTTCCAAAGGGGGTCATGTGACCAAGTCTAATCATCCTGTCTCTCTCTGATTCCCTTGTCTTTCCAGATTTCATACCAGCTTCAAGATCTTTTCCTGAAAATCCATACAACATTGACTTATGGTTAGTTTTAGAGAATCAACAAAGGTGCAACATTCAATTAGCCACTTTATTAAATCAATAGAAAAAGTGATCTTCAATTGCTCCCAAAACGATTCATGGCCAAAGTAAGCTTTGGCAGCTCGCATCACAAACTGTTCAAGACTCCAGGGCCTATATTTTCGAAGCTCTCTTAGCGCTAAGATAGTCGTAAGTTAATGTTAATGTATGGTACTTACGACTATCTTAGCGCTAAGAGAGCTTCGAAAATATAGGCCCTGTGGTCAAAGGTGTGCAACTCTGCTACAATAACAACACTTCCCTGTCAGCTCCTTCCCAATGTTGCCTGGCTTCACCAGAGTGAATTAGTCACTTTAACATTCACAACCGGTATCTATAAGCAAAGAGATACTCTCTTTTGAAAGGATTAAACTCAGTCCTAAAGTGAGTGATATTCCATCACTGGTTTCAGCATATTGCAGCCATTTCATTGAAATTGTTGATGCTGTGTGATAACCAATCACCTTGTTGTCCCAGAGGTGCTACCAGCACACCTGCATCAAACTTCACGTTGTCCATCTTTGCCTGCAATACGCTCTTCCTTGATTCCAACTTTTTCAGATGCTTCATCTATTACCATGAAAACAAAATATGCATTACAACATGAGATTTACATCAAGCTATCAACCCATGTAAAGTCTTTTTCTGTCATGAGAGACTTCTTCATGTCTTTAAACATGTTCAGAACTGATATCTTAAGGCACTGCCATTTAAAGGTACATTTACCTTATTGTCTCTCTGTTTCTTAATAGCTTCTATTGTGTGCCTCACATCACGACTCACTCCCTCAGTAGACTGAGGCATTGATGCCATCACTTTGTTGATATGAGTCAATTCCTGATTGGCCATTCTGGAATTATATGAATATCATAAGTTATTAATATTTGTTTATTTTCATCCACAGTATTAATTTTGAAATACAATTATTATTCCAAAACAATTCAAAAGTCCAAAACACAGCACTCACTTGAAGTCATCCTCAACAGCTGTCATCTCTTTTGTGAGAATTCGGCGTAACCTCTCCTCTTCTTCCAGCGCCATTGCCTGGTCCACCTGGGCCATCACACCTGCACAGAAACATTGTTACAGGGGAATGTATAACCTCATCATGCTCATCTTCGTACCTTCTGTACTGACAATTCAAGTTAGTACAGCACAGTTGTATTAAGTAATAGTTTACAATTAAACACTGACAGTATAAGTTTACTCATAAGACCATTTGCTGACATTCATGTAAATGGTTTGCAGTTTGTTCTCAGAAATTTCTATTGAAAATTAAAACCAGGATCAAAGAAGTAAGTAAACGAAAACGAGGATAAAAATAGACATGTTTTTGTGCTTTAAGTAGTTATTTGTTAAATACCAACTCTTTCCAATGTTCTAATCATATCAATGCTAATTTTGTGTGTGCTAACACACTTTGGATATACAACTGTATGGGGTTTGTATATCCTGTAATACAAATGTACACATACCATCTTCAAACTCCTGCTGGTTGAATACACCAAGTCCAAGCCCTTCTAGCTCTGACTGTTCTTCCAGCAGAGCCTTGGGGATGAGTTTTGTGTTGACGTGGAAGCCCATCTTTTCCTCAGCCACCTCCCCTTCATCCATGTTGTCGTCAGCCATACTGGATGGTCCTGCTACTGGTTCAGGTTCTATCAAAATGGAAGCCCTCTGGCCACCCAATCCAGTTGCAGCGGATGCCATCTTTGCTTCACTGCTTTCTTTACATTACAAAAAGTTCACTTCGTTATTTCTCATCTGGAAGACAAACAATAGGAAATGCTAACGTTCAAAAGCTATATTTTTATGCTATTAATCATGTCATATACACTCGCATAACCTTGATTCGTGGATATAAGGGAAGTGCGGCGAAATTCATATCTTAAATGCATGATTTCATTTTGTATACGCACTGCTTATTTTATTCATTGATTCAGCAAATTTAAAATGCCTCATATTCCACTCGTGAATGAAACGTTTGTTTACCGAAGCCATTTTCAATCATCACTCATTCGCGTGCCCCATAATGTGACGTCACCTTGTTTCGTGGATTACGTAGTCGGTTACTTTATACTATAATGTACGACATCCCACTGCAGTAAGTATGGACACCAAGGAAAGCAGACATCAAAAAGTGAGAAGGTTGGAGCCAACAGTATCTTTTTTACTTGACATTTTGTAAAAATAAAATTTGGTAATGGTGGCATTAGTGATCTGGGACTATTTATCTCAGTGCTGGACAATCATATTTAGTGTACTTGCGTGTAATGCAGAGATTTGGAACTTTTTCATCAGCGAGGCATAGCATTGTATGTACATCAAAAGTACCGCTTTGTGACGTCAGTCGAGACTTAATTTACGAGATAGCATGATAATTTCCACGAATCAAGGTTATCCACGAATTTAGGTTACAGTTCTGTATATCATAACATCTCCTTTCAAATTAACAGTTTGGCGTTCAGAAGTTGTGAGTACTACATAACAACTTGATGGATAACAACTTCTGGTTTATCTGTTCAAGTAATTTTTCTATTTTCTTGCTCCGAAATAGCCAGAATATTACTATCAACGGGATCAGGTATAGCTCATGGGGATACGCATAAAACAAATACACGGTGAATGTCATGTTTAACACTGTTCCACGTTGACCCAATGAAAACAAATGTATTGTTCTCTTTCTGTAGTTTGAGAAGACATAACTCTCTACTCACTGCTCTGATAAATATAGTATATGAAATGACATAAAAATATGGGGGCTAACTCCGATATACATACTCGGATATAGTTTTGGTGAATTGCCGTTCAGGTCATTCGTACGCAACAAACAAACATGACAAACTTCGACTTGGCCTTCAGTTTATTACCGCAAACAGGACCACCATTACACATTTTCTCAAATGGTGACCCGAAATTCGGGTAGACGAAGCGATTGGTAAACATAAATGTTTTCCAAAAACATTTGTAACGTCGGGTAAAAGCAAACTTTTCACCCATTATGCGAAGTGCTTACCTCGCACGTCGCCATCTTTGTATTTACTGGGGAAGCCTTGTTTAGTACTATATTTAGTAACCATCACGTGACTTCGGCATTTCTAATGACTAATTTTAGAACGATTCCTCAAAGGACCCACTGAACTCAGTGACAAAGCGAAATAAGGAATTTTACAGTATGAAATATTGGGAGCTCTCGAAAGATTATTTTAATCATATGATTTTTGGACAGCATCGTGAAAAGTACACACAATGTGTAAATCTCATATGACAAAACATGATCTTTTGTGAAGAAACAATAGGTCCTGTTAATTCTCCATTTACAAGTCTAATGGGTTTAAATAACAGTTCACTCAGCAATATCTTAGCAATATGCATCAATCACGTGTGATTCCGATGCTTCTATAGTCACAAACATGGGCTGCTGGGAGCAGTTGCACCTGCGATATCTCTATTCTGTTTTGACACGCGAAATGTGTCTTATTAAGACCCTTGCGAAAAGGAGTCGAACTCAAGTCTAATATAAGTAGGCAAATCTAAAGACTCAGATCTACGAATGGGGATGGCCTAAAAGTCGGGCCGGACCACTGGGTAATACTAAAAATGGATTGCAGAATATTAAAACGAAATCTGCACATTTGGGTAGATACACTTCCTGCCTTCACAAAGCATAGTTTGGTTGAAAATGTATAGTTAACGATGAAAAAACACACAACAACAATAACTACATACCGAGATTCCAGTAGAAAACACACCGTCTTGTTGTTATGTGTTTTCCTTGATATGTCTATGTGGGAAGGTTGCTTACTTCTCTTAGCGTGTGACATCCTGGGGTCCTGGGCAGGAAGTGACAGTGTTTTGACTGCTTTTCTGGGGTTCCCTAATTAACCTTTATTGTCTCATGCTGAATCAGCACAGGATGTTTATGTTAAAGAGAAGTGGATATTGGCGAGTGTCAATGGGAAAATATGACATGATTATATATATTAAAAGAAATCTTTTAAGTCACAACCTTTTGTAATATGTTATAAAGGATCAAACAAGGTATGCATTCACAAACACAAAAATTCTTATGTGTTTTCATTGTAAACAATACCAGCGCGTATGCATATGCTTATATTTACTAATACACATGAAACACAAAATGGTATTATATCTACATAAATACCACTTCATCAAGTAAAGTAAAATTGAAGCCCTTTTCTCTCTCCATTCCCAAAGATTTTAGGAAAAAAGTCCTCGGAAAACAAAATCCTCAATCAAAAGTGTTTAGTCTCTGTTCGGCCCGACTTGGCCCGTGCTGTCAAAAACACCTTAAACCTCACACATGTATCTTGAAACGTGTTTATATCCATAGATTAGTATTATATCTACCTAAATATCACTTCACAGAGTCTCAAAGCGTAGTGTTTGAAGCAAACACGTTGCTGAAAGTGAAGCTATCTTTTCTACATATTCTCAACAAAGACAGAGTATCACAAGCGTTCGGTCCGCCTTGGCCCGGGCTCTCATAAACAACTTAAACCCCACACATGTATTCTGATTTGTGTTTAAATCCATAGATTAGTATTATATCTACCTAAATATCAATGTGTGATGTTACAAAATGCCACATGTAAAGATAACTGGTTCGTTAAAGTGAAGCCCTTCGGTCCGCCTTGGCCTGGGCTCTCAAAAACAACTTAAACCGCACACATGTATTCTGATTTGTGTTTAAATCCATAGATTAGTATTATATCTACCTAAATACCTCTTTATAGAGTCTCAAAGCGTTGTATTTGAAGCAAACGCGTTGCTTAAAATGAAGCCCAGTGTTCAGTCTATCTCTGCTAGGGCTAATGAAATTAATACACCTGTTAATTACACCTGTATCTAGCTTGCTTAATTGCCCCTTGTCTAATTGCAATCAACTGGGTGTTGTGATTCAATTAACACACTCCATTGTTGCCCTTAATTACCTGTCAGAGGCCTTCCGCCTTCCGTGTTATTGATTCCTCTACCGTTTCTTCATCACTTTTTTCACAGATGGGCATGTAATCACTGACAAAATTGGAAATGCTATGGGTTTTCTGACTTGCCTACAAATACCAACATCATACCATGTGAATACAAAAGTGACCCCCCACCCCACCCCAAAACATCATACCTTGTATATCCTGTGATTAGATGGATTGTATGTTGCCTAACATCCAAATTCACTGTTGTTCTGTATGCACAATATGTGAACCCATATCATGGTTTTTTCATGTTTTATAACCTCAAGTTTACGAAAATAGAACCATTTTGGTACGTTTGTTTGGTGTAAGTGAGATACACTTGGTGTTCTTGTCACAAACAAATCATTGTTACATATCTATCTTATACATCTGGGAGACAACAGGTGGAACTTTCGGTAAGTACAAATATATTTGAAAATGCATCAAAAACTAAATTTTGGGTGGAAGACAAAAAAACATCGAACAGTTTGGAAATTGTTTATCTAGATGTATAGGATATGTAAATAAAGACTGTTTACAACCAGTTTAAGGATTTCTCTTTGTTTTGTCTCGGTGTATGTCGGAATGTCGGAAAGTTGCAATGTCATTTTCACTGATGGAAATAGAAATTGAACTAAAATCATTACATTTTATTTACCAAATTAAGTTTCAACTGGCATTTATATTCAAAGAAAGCACATCACAAATGTTCAAAACGCTTGAACTATTTTGGTATTTTTATGTATTCGTAGGTAACATAATACATTTGTTCTGAAGATCACCCTTGTAGGTCCTCGACGCGGCTGGTCACCTTACCACGTTGAAGTAAATACTGGATTGTGATTGGTTAATCAAGGGCATTCAGAGGTATGTAATCACGTGATATACCTCTAATTTTCTAATACAGTATGTATTACTTTTTTAGTCTTAATAACACGGCTATGGTAGAATGGAGATAAAATTATAATAGCTCTAAATTTTTTATTTGAAACCTCACTCTACGCGTTCGTTTTAATTCAAATTCAGAGCTATTATAATATCGTTATAAACCTCTAATTTTCCAACACAATATCTTTATCTCCTAAATGGACATCTGCACAAGTTAACTTCCTTAACACTAATGTGATATGATGTGAATATCATTGTGATCGGAAAATGACAAATAACAGCATAAGTAAATAACACAAAAAAAACAGAAATACATTCTTTTTGTCCTTCAACTACTCCAACTAGAATAGACCACTTTTAGATCATAGGGGTGCCACTAGTTTACCATTGCGTAATCAACAGTCAACAGATCATGAAATGTTGGTTTTAAGACTGTAGGCGAATTGGGATGTAGGCGAAATGAGAACATGCCACAGATATAGATAGCCGGCTGAAGCTATTCATGACATGATTTAAATATATCAGAATATATATGAATGGTGAAATTATTAAAGAAGTGGATAACCATCAACACTTAGGTATAACTCTTCAAAGCGATTGTTCTTGGAAAGTATATATAGGTGACATGATAAAGAAAATTAGTCCAATGATCAATTGTCTGAGAAGTTTGAAATATCGTTTATCTCGGAAAACGCTTAATACTTTATACAACTCCTTTATCCTACCACTATTTGATTACTGCTGTCATATATGGGATAATTGTACGATTGAACAGGCGATTTTATTGAAAATTTACATCTAGACGCCTTAAGAACTATAAGCGGTGCGGTTCGTGGCACCAGTCACGATAAAATATATACAGGGAAGCTAATTATAGCACACTGAAAGAAAGACGACATCGCTCTAAAGACTAACTATAAAATGTATCATCGTCTGACTCCTGATTATTTGAACGATCTTGTACCAGGTAGAGTACTCGAACAAAGTAACTATAATCTTAGAAATAGTACTTCCATTCAAAATATTAATAGAGAACGTAGAATAGTAGAACGCAAAGATATATTCTCAATCATTTTTGCCGAGCGCGATTATGACGTGGAATTCATTGCCTGATGGAGCTGTTAACGCTATTTCCCTGAATCAATTTAAAACCATGATAAACACAACAGAAACTCACAATTACTTTGATTTGAATTTTGGAACTAGATTTTGTGAAATCATTCATTGTCGCCTCAAGCTCGGCTGTAGTGATCTAAACGCAGACATATATAATCGGCATATATCGGACACACCCAGGTGCTCATGTGGTTATTATAATGAAGACGTTATTCACTACCTTTTTACATGTCTGAACTATCAAACTTTAATAACAACTGTGTATTTTTATATTCAAGGATATGATGTTAAAACTGCTTTATACGGTAACGGCGCATAGAATAACTCATTACATCAGTTTATTTCTAAAAGTAACCGCTTCCAGTGATTATCCCCTCAACGTATATATTCAGTGTAAGACAAATTTTATATAACGTGATTTTCTGCGGCAGCCATTTCGTTGCTGGGCATAACCAACACCAGAACGAACATATTTGTTTCTCAATCATATATATGTTATTGTATTATTCTTTTGTTGTCAAATTATCTCATTTATGTATCCAGCTATTAATTTTGAACAGTGTACTGGAGAGGCGTTAATATAAGCCACTAGGCTTGTTCGCCAATCCAGGTTTCTGCCTTGGTGAAATAAAAATATGTTTAAACCAAAAATATCAGAGATATAACAGAGACTAAACACTTTTGATTGAGGCTATGTTGAGAATGTAGAGAGAAAAGGGCTTCACTTTAACGGACCAGTTCTCTTTACATGTTGCATTTGATAACATTACAAAGTGATATTTAGGTAGATATAAAACCAATCTATTGATTTAAACACATTTCAAGATACATCTGTGAGGTTTAAGGTGCGTTTGACAGCCCGGGCCAAGCCGGAGCGACAGCTTGTGATACTGTGTCTTTGTTGAGAGTGTATAGAAAATAGGGCTTCACTTTGAGCAAGGTGTTTGCTTCAAATACTACGCTTTGAGACTCTGTGAAGTGATATTTAGGTAGATATAATACTAATCTATGGATATAAACAAATTTCAAGATACATGTGTGAGGTTTAGGTTGTTTTTGACAGCACGGGCCAAGTCGGGCTGAACAGGGACTAAACACTTTTGACTGAGGCTATGTTGTGAATGGAGAGAGGAAAGGGCTTCACTTTAACGGAGCAGTTATCTTTACATGTGGCATTTTGTAACATCACACATTGATATTTAGGTAGATATAATACTAATCTATTGATTTAAACACAAATCAGAATACATGTGTGGGGTTTAAGTTGTTTTTGAGAGCCCGGGCCAAGGCGGACCGAACGCTTGTGATACACTGTCTTTGTTGAGAATATGTAGAAAAGATAGCTTCACTTTCAGCAACGTGTTTGCTTCAAACACTACGCTTTGAGACTCTGTGAAGTGATATTTAGGTAGATATAATACTAATCTATGGATATAAACACATTTCAAGGTACATGTGTGAGGTTTAAGGTGATTTTGACAGCACGGGCCAAGTCGGGCTGAACAGAGACTAAACACTTTTGATTGAAAAATGAGAGACAAGGGCTTCACTTTAACGGAGCAGTTTTCTTTACATGTTGCATTTTATAACATTACAAAGTGATATTTAGGTAGATATAATACCAATCTATTGATTTAAACACATTTCAAGATACGTGTGTTACGTTTAAGTTGCTTTTGACGGCTCGAGCCAAGCCGGACCGAACAATTGTGGCCGAGATAAGGTTGAGAGCGTGGGGAAGAGATCGTATCATTTAATGGTGGGCATGCTTTAAATACGACGAATAATGAATTTATGGGGTGGTATGTGATTGGATATAGATGTAAAAACATTTTCGGGCCGACGGAAATGTGTATCGGAATTGACTGAAGTATTTATACGTTATAAATCCTGTTTCGTTTAACGATTCCACTTTTAGACGTAACCTCGGTCAGTCAGTTCACAGGCTTCTCGTCTTCCTGAGTTTTAGCCGGTTTACTCGTAATAAAGTTATTATGGTACGCGTTTGTGGCTTCCGATTGATCATTATTATCATGAGTGTCTGTTGCATTAATTAATTGTAGGCATGGTTTTCATTAATGGGTTTATTAGCCAATAATATAGTTGGCCCGCCTTGGCCCGGCCCGGCCCGACTTTTAGGCCATCCCCATGGCTCCTTTTTTGGTGTTATTATTTCTTATTGATAGGTATATATGTTTACATAACTTAATTTCTTGGACTAAATGTCAATGTAACATGTCATATGCACTGGCTAATGGAGAAGTTAGTACTTCAATTGTTGTGCAATCCCCAGTGGCTGAGTAAGTCGGATCGCTTGCTCCAGGGAGACTATATAACGTATTGTAGATTATCCCTGCTTGCTCCAAGGCTGTACTGAGTGCTGAACCCTTGGATGTATAGTAATTCAGTCTCCAGAGAGGCAGGTCTAGATAAGCGGACAGTACACTAAGGAGACAGTCTGTTTGAGGAATATTTATAGTTTTTTTAGAAATATTATCATTTAAACTAGTAATTATTACCTGAGAGACGTGTGCAAGTCTAGCGATTTGGTGCTACTCATGAGTGTGGTTTGAATTCCGGATGGGAATTTGTACTTGATTAAGAAGGTGTCATCCAAACATACAACACTTGTTACATTTGACAACGATCTAAATGACATTTTGTTTTTACATTAGTTAGGTCAGCAAATTATACCTCCTTTCAACGGAAAGCAAACACGTATCACGAGGAACTGGGACAGAAATTATGATGTGTATGTGTATGTGTATGTGCATGTGTGTATAACAAAGTCAGTGTATTTTAGTTGAAGATTGATCATCCGCGACCACAATGAAAGCTTCCAATAATCTGATTATTGAACAGATGTAGTTTTCAACTCATGTCCAGTCTCCAATAGTTTTCAATAAATGTTCACCCTCGGATAGTTTGTGAGTCCTGCAACAAGCTGGATATGTTGGTGTCATAGTCGGTTATGACAGCAGAAAAGCAGAGAAGAGGCACTGACGGCAGTGCACTCATGGCGGTTTTGAAACTGACTTGAGAGTTAGGCCACGTCACCGAATTCGTGCATTCAAAGACTTATATTCTGTTTTTTTCAACCCGGCAATTTTATTTAATTTATCCCCAAAAAGAAAGAAAAAAGATATCAAGCGTTCTCAAGTAGCCCGTTCACGAGGACTTGCAGTGTCTTTGTGTGATTTGTGTTCTTTACGATAACCAGTTGGACAAAACACAAATGATGTAATTTATTAACATCCGATTAGATCTATCAAGTATATTTTCAATTTGGAATGTAATCAGTTCTTCTTTAATTATATCCTTATGTTATGTTACATTTCTGAAGGGCGTTAACTGCACAAATAAACAAAATGCGCGGTATATTCTCTTACATCTTACATTTACATCTATGCCGCCAAATAAAACACCTAAATAAAGATAACCAGATTCCGTTTCCAGATAAAAGAAGGATGACGTCATGCTATTGTTACGTCACGTGAAACTCCAGTTTAATGTCGGCGCCACGCGAGGAAGACGTGCTTGTAATAGGTGCAGGTGTCTTCATCAATGGGCGTTAAATTTTCAGCCTTTCTAAAGAGATTAACAAAGAATAAGACCGGTCCAAACATGGACGAACAACTGGAGAAGATAATTTTACACGGATTTCTCAAAACTCCACGTGCAACCGAAGAGGAAGTCATGAAACAACTACAAGAGGAAGGAATAATTCCGACACTTAGAAGACAAGGGGGTGTGGCATTCGAGGTCCCCCTAGTCGCAGACAAACCCAGGGGACAAGCCCCACGTCGCCTATGTCAGTACAACTCTCACAAGAAGAGTCCGTGGTCTCGAGAGGAGAAGATGATTATCGCTGGCATACAGAAGGAGGAACACCTGGATCTTCGGAGGAAGACCGCTCGGAAGGAGGAGGAGAAGAGGCGACGAGTTGCTGAGAGGAAGATCCTGCGTCAGATGAACCGGTCGGAGAAGCTCTACAGGAAAATGGCGGCTGTAGAGAACAGGAAGAGGGAACTGGATATATTGAGGAAGAGGGTTCTTCCTCCCATCCGCAAGGATGTGTAGGATACAGACGGCTAGTGTTGATAAACTGCGCATAATTTTTCAAAATGGAAGTTTGAAAAGTACTTTCGTTGCTCGAGATCTGTTCTTCTTCCATTTGTTGCTGATGAATTTCAAATTCAATGTTGTATCGAGATTATATAATCAGTGCTATAACATTGAATGCTTACTTTATTTAATATGCCACAAGTTCATTAAATGCTCTTGATTGATATATATGTAAATTGTAATTGTACTTACTGATCATTTATGAGTGTACGTGATTTTAGATTAAAATGTATAGTCTACTATTGATTGTATCTACCTTAACTAGTGGTTCTTGTCGGTTTCCTCAAAACTTGCAATCACAACCAAGCCAACAAAAATATTCACATGCTTCTCTGAACATTTGGGTTCAAAGGTGATGAGAAGGGAACATGTTTCATGACTTCTCCAGACACTGGGGTCTGGTTAAAACCTTTCTTGCTGATTCTGATCAACTGGTTTTAAAATTAAGAAAACAACCCTGAAACCAGCAAACACATGAAACCCCATAGAATACCCAAAATTCATGAGACATAAATAATAAATAATAAGTACATTTATAATGCGCCAAATCCAGACACACAGTGTATGCTCATAGCGCTACATAAGAGATTCTGACATCACGAGGTTAAGAGATAGCGGCTAGAAATGATTAGAGTCTATAGAACTGAGTGAAGAGAAATGTTTTGAGACTGTCTTTGAACATTTGCAGAGTAGGGATTCCTTTAAGATAATCTGGGAGTTTATTCCAGAGAGTGGTGGCATTGTAAGTAAATGATCTCTGACCAAATCGTCTCAGACGTGGGGTTGGAACAGAGAAGAGATGTTGTTGGGCAGATCGGAGGACTCTAGATGGGTGGTAGACTTGTGTGAGTTCAGACAGGTAGGAAGGCGCTGATTGGTGATAACACTGATAAGCCAGTGCAAGCACTTTATACTGAACACGTGCATCAACAGGTAGCCAGTGCAGTTTCATCAGTATGGGCGTGATGTGCACAGATTTCTTTGATCGTGTAACTATCCTTGCGGCAGAATTCTGAATGCGCTGAAGCCTGGACATTTGTTCATTGGTGATGTTACATAAAAGACTATTACAGTAGTCCAGCTTGGATAACACTAAACTCCTGACAAGCATATGGGCAGTATCAGTAGACAGCAGGTGCCGGATGTTGCCGATGTTCCGGAGATGATAGTGACAAGCTCTGCAGGTCATAGTGATGTGCTGATCCATTGACAGGTCATTGTCCAGGATAACTCCCAGATTTCTAACACAGTCAGTGAAAAGAACCTGGGACTGTCCAACACTAAGAGATGAAACATTTGCCTTGTTCCGCTTATCACGTGTACCAATCAACATGGCTTCTGTCTTGTCTGTGTTTATTTTCAACATGTTTGTGTTCATCCAACACTGAATGTTGCGGGTGCAGATACCCATATGAGAGACAGCAGTGTGGGCGTTCTGAGGCAGGAAGGAATCAAGTAACTGAGTGTCATCAGCGTAGAAATGGTGACCAATATTCATGGATGAACATAAGTTGTCGAACCTGAATGATCCAGCTTGTCCGCCAGTTACCAGCCCTGCCGCCCATAACCAGACATGGACTCTCTTGGTGGGACTCACTCCCTACTGGCCATTTCTTGGGTGGCAGGGTGGCGGTCGTTCGTGTAGAAGTGTTTAGAATAATGTTATTGACCAGCGTGGATGCAGGGTTAAGTGACTGGGTGCGGTGTGTGAATGTTAATCAACAACGAACACTTGTTAGATACATGCAAATAATCCGCGAAGCAATAGGTGTTCGGCAATCAAGTAGGGTTTTCTAAAGATACATTCCCGATTGAATAATCATGCTGCACAGCAGGTTTACACGTAATACATCCATCACCTTTACAAATAGGGTTTTGTTTGGTTGTTGTTCGACGCGTACTCTGCAACAAAGGGGTTCGAATCCCTGTTTGGACAGTAATTTTTAAAAATAACAATGTAGACTTTTGTAATCGTATCAAGTTGTTTTAATATGTTATGATTAACACATATATATTTCAAATTTGAACGAAATCGGCGAGGAAATGATTTTGTTTAGAAATTCTTGCGCTTCACTCATTATATAAAGTACACAGCGGTAGAACTTCATTTCTTCACCGATTTCCTTCAAATTTGAAATTTGTGTAATTTATGTAATGATTGAAGCGGTAGAAGTTTCTAAAAAAATCATTTCTTCACCGATTTCGTTCAAATTTGAAATATATGTTAATCATAACATATAAAAACAATATACGATTGCAAAAGTCTAGATGTTTATTTTATTTATAAAAATGATTATCTAAACAGTGATTTGAACTCCTGTGGTCTGCTTTATGGCAGTGGTCCGTCTTGACTTTGATCCAGACAATCCAGTGATTTACACTGTGAAACATGACGTCGAGTACGATGACATGCAATCAACCAAGTCACTGAACTTGACCACCCAATCCACTTGATTCTGTTCCCTTTGCAGAGAGTTCAACTAATAGTAATAATCAGTGCAAATATGACATTTGACCTCGCATAATAACTGACGTCACGTATGAGAGATACCTCTTTGAGTTGATGTTTCAAGAACAACAGAAACAGACTCTCTTTTATACAGTTATTTTCGTTTTTATTACTGAAATATTTACAAATAAATATTTTTGCTAAATTTACAATGAACTACAAACACACAAATTTCAGTGTATAAATAATATTTCATGGGATCTTTATGCATTCAGAGACTGACAATGTATACAATAAAATGAACACATGCTGATTAACTGTACAAATATAGTTTACAAAAGAGGGACAGAAAATATCACAGAAAAATTATGCAGTAGGATGTCATGACTGAATAAGCCTACTGCAGACATTGGTCGTTGGCTCTACAATGAAGTTCAAGAATAAAACTATTTATAAATATTCTATTATGATTCACAAAAAACAGTCCACAGTACTGAGACCACAGACAAATCAAGTCAACTCAGACCATGGGTGAGCACCATTGATGGTTGACATGTTACTTTACATAGAAACTTCTTCCTGCGAACATCCTGCTTGTCATTTCAAGAATATCTTTATCATCACACATTAGCCATGATGATCCTGACACTGCTGCTGATCACATGCACGTTGACAGTCATCACATATTTTAGCATCAATGTTCCGGCTTACAATACAGACTATGAGTTGAACGTATGTGTGTTCTGGTGTGACCATGAGCTTTAATACTGATTCGACATATGTGAGACTATTGGCACAGACATGCAGAGGTTTGGGGGTAGGCCAGCACTTATATCAGTAGTTGCACCACCAGCAGTAGCAGATCTCAGACCCGAGCCTGGAACTTAGCCAGGTGAAGACCATGTCGCAATCTGTCTGCGTCCAACTGTCGGAAATAAGCATCATCTTCATCTCGGAACATTTGTTCCTGATAATTTTTTATCTCCTGTTCCATACGGCGCCGCAATTCCTTCTTCATCTCAGCAAGCACCTGCAGCAGGAAGAATATTCATCCGTGAGGACAGCATGTTTCAGGTACAAATATCAGTATTTCTGTGATTCAAAGGACAGAGGGCAGGGTAATTGTCTGTGTCATACAGGGTATACTGTTTCAGAGGAGAAGCTAAGAGGGCAACAGAAACTGACTAACATCTCCCTCCTCACCTTTTGTTGAGCCTTGTCCCTGATTTCTGTCTCGGTCCTCTCCCGTGCAACTTTCTCTGCCAGCATGGAGAACTGGTCCTCGTAGCTGCCATAGTCAAGGGCAAATAACCCATAACAGGGCTACACTAACAACAAAGCACAACAACTTTGGGAAGAATGAACCAAGTGACCCTTTGATGAAGATTGCTGGTAAGTTTGTATATCATGATCACCCCTGCAGGCTGTATGGTCTGATTTCATGCAGAGTATCATGTTACTTTGAAGGGTCAACTACATGCTTGAGTTTATTCTAGACACAATTCTCTAAGATGTTGTATCACCTACAATGTCATGCAGCCATGTACAGCTGCAGAAACAATGTCAAGGAACATTATCAAGTCAAGGATACTAGTTCTCCATGGACTGGATCTCATTGCTGCGCTGCTCAGCATGGTTGGAGCGCTGCTCCCGGGCGGTATCGCCGTACCTCCTGGATCCGCTCCTTCTGAATGGCCAGGCACTCGTCAAACAGTTTCTTGAAGATCTGCAACGCCACATTGTACAAAGAAGATTGAGACCTACCTCAGAAGCATTGAGAAATGAGTTATTGGGAATATACATGGTCAAAAAAAAATTAATTAATGAGGCTGCTTAACTATAGGTTGATCATAAAATATGCCAAACATTATGTTTCCAAAGTTGAAATCTAATTGACTGAACTGCTGAAAGCAATGCTGCTGCACTGATGACAAGCTGATTAAGTGTAATACAAGAAACATTGGGATCAAATAGCAACAAAAAGTAAAATCCCTGAACCTACCATTTCTTCTTTTGTTCTTCTCTTCAACATCTTGGATCTCATGCGGACCTGATATTCATTGTAGTACTTGCGGGCACGTGCAGACTGCATGCGCTTCTCGTGCATCTTGTTCTGTACTGATGCAGACTGAATGCGCTGGTCTTTTATGTCTTGCTACCATGTGAGAAAAGGTTACAATAAGTGGCCAAATAAGCAATCACTATATGGCTTGGCTTGCATTAAATAAAGTACATGAGTACAATAGGCTGACACCGAGGATATTCACCACACTGACTGACAATGTTGAGTTGAAAAACAATGTGAAGACATTAAATATAGGTACTGAAAAAAATACACTACAGTTGTTTGTTGGGATGACTAATAGCTTCAGGGTGTGTGGGTGTGTGAGAATATTGGTCTGACCTGCCGCTTGGAGTGCTCCAGCTGTTTCTGCACCATCTTTGTCAGGATTTCATGTCTCTTCTCTGCTCCCTCCACCTGCTCAGACACAAACACACACTTTATGTTCATGTCCACAAAACGATCAATGAGGCTTAAGTCACTTAAACCTATTCATATCACTCATGACAAATACATACAACTCATCGAATTGGTAACATACAGCCAGATATATTGTGAATAGACAATGTTATACATCATATCAAAATTGAAAGAACCATGAGACAAGTTACTAATATTTTTTTCTTGACAAATGACATACTGAAATACAAACCTGTTTCTGAGCTAGACTCTTCTTGCGTTTGTTTTCCTCATATGTGCGAGTGAGTTGTTCGATCTGTGAGATACCTCGCCTCCACAACTCATGCCAGGTGTGCTCAGACAGGTATAGGTGAGGGAACTCCTCCAGTAGTACAGGCATCAAGTCCTCATCCTCTGTCAGACTCACTGTAGACAAACCAAACAGCAAATTCAGAAACTATCATAAACCATCCAATGACAGTTCAAATGAGTGCTTCTGCTATCGTTTCAAATATTTCTGTTTTATGTTACTCCATGCCTACTTACTTGCTCTCTTGGCGACCCCCTGCCCCAGAACTGTGTCTCCTCACTTTGGTGCTGACAGCTGGCTTGTTGGTCCGAGACTTCTTGGTCGGCACCACTGTAGGAGAGAGCAGTAACATGAACTTAACCAGTGTATGAAATAAGCCAAAAAATCCAGCCAAACATGAGGGCTGGTAACTTCAAAATGTTACCAGCCCAAAATTGATTTAACCAGACCAAATATGGTGAATTGACTCAGATGTATGGAACATCTAAACATGTAAATTAGACCGTCCATCAGAAATCTAGACCGTCTTGGGCGGTCCTTATTTCATACACTGACTTAACATACTGTACCACTAGAATATACTCTTCTGGTCCTTACAACATACATCAGTCCAGAGTGATTGCATGTAAGGATGTCTGGACAAAGTGTCATGTACTAAGAAACCACATACATGGATGTCAGTATGAAAAGATGACACATGGGGACAGCAGTACAAAGTGAGTGAGTGAGTAGGGTTTTTAGCAGTATTCCAGCTATATCACAGAGGGGGACACCAGAAATGGCCTCACACATTGTGGGGAATCGAACCCAGGCCTTTGGCGTGATGAGTGAACGCCTTAGCCACTAGGCTACCCCATCGCCCCATCAGTACTAAGTGACCTTATACCAATGTCAGTACAAAGTGATCACACACATAATGTCTTACCTTTTATTGTAACCTCCGACCTTTTGGGTATCTCCTGCTGTACCTTTGGTTTTTGTGTGGCTCCAACTTTATTTTTCTTTAGCACTTTCTTCTTGAACTCATTCTCCTGAAACATTAACAAAGTTTCACAACAAAGTGACGGGTACAGTAACCGGGAACACAGTAAACTGGGTTTAACATGGTTTGACAGTATGAAGAGCACCATTATGAACCCCACAGAGATGTCATCCTATTGAACACAATCTCATAAAACACATTACAATGCTGACCAAAGGAAATTAATGGAATACAAAAATCAAATAACCAGTGTTACTTGTATTTCAACAGCTAAAAAAGCAATCTTAATATTTGCTTATTAAAAGAGACATTATGATTAGAACCTACAGTCTCTTTGGCTTCCTTCCTGCCGTGGGACATCTGGTCCCGGAACTCCTCCTCCAGGTCCTCTAGGTCTTCCTCATACATCTGCTTCAGGATCTGCAGCACACACACATTCACATATATATCGGCTTCAGGATCTGCAGCACACACACATTCACATATATATCGGCTTCAGGATCTGCAGCACACACACAGTCACATAAATATCGGCTTCAGGATCTGCAGCACACACACATTCACATATATATCAGCTTCAGGATCTGCAGCACACACACACATATATCGGCATCAGGATCTGCAGCACACATTCACATATATATCGGCTTCAGGATCTGCAGCACACACAGTCACATAAATATCGGCTTCAGGATCTGCAGCACACACATTCACATATATATCGGCTTCAGGATCTGCAGCACACACACATCACATATATATCGGCATCAGGATCTGCAGCACACACACATTCACATATATATCGGCTTCAGGATCTGCAGCACACACACAGTCACATAAATCCTCGGCTTCAGGATCTGCACACACATTCATATATATATCGGCTTCAGGATCTGCAGCACACACACAGTCACATATATATCGGCATCAGGATCTGCAGCACACACACATTCACATATATATCAGCTTCAGGATCTGCAGCATTCCACATATATCTGCAGATCTGCACACACATTCACATATATATCGGCTTCAGGATCTGCAGCACACACATTCACATATATATCAGCTTCAGGATCTGCAGCACACACACAGTCACATATATATCGGCATCAGGATCTGCAGCACACACACATTCACATATATATCGGCTTCAGGATCTGCAGCACACACACAGTCACATATATATCAGCTTCAGGATCTGCAGCACACACACAGTCACATATATATCGGCATCCAGGATCTGCAGCACACACATTCACATATATATCGGCTTCAGGATCTGCAGCACACACACAGTCACATAAATATCGGCTTCAGGATCTGCAGCACACACATTCACATCATATATATATCGGCTTCAGGATCTGCAGCACACACACAGTCACATATATATCGGCATCAGGATCTGCAGCACACACACATTCACATATATATCGGCTTCAGGATCTGCAGCACACACACAGTCACATAAATATCGGCTTCAGGATCTGCAGCACACACATTCACATATATATCGGCTTCAGGATCTGCAGCACACACACAGTCACATATATATCGGCATCAGGATCTGCAGCACACACACATTCACATATATATCGGCATCAGGATCTGCAGCACACACACAGTCACATATATATCGGCATCAGGATCTGCAGCACACACACATTCACATATATATCGGCTTCAGGATCTGCAGCACACACACAGTCACATATATATCGGCTTCAGGATCTGCAGCACACACACATTCACATATATATCGGCATCAGGATCTGCAGCACACACACAGTCACATATATATCGGCATCAGGATCTGCAGCACACACACATTCACATATATATCGGCATCAGGATCTGCAGCACACACACATTCACATATATATCGGCTTCAGGATCTGCAGCACACACAGTCACATATATATCGGCTTCAGGATCTGCAGGACACACACAGTCACATATATATCGGCATCAGGATCTGCAGCACACACACATTCACATATATATCGGCTTCAGGATCTGCAGCACACACACAGTCACATATATATCGGCTTCAGGATCTGCAGCACACACACAGTCACATAAATATCGGCTTCAGGATCTGCAGCACACACATTCACATATATATCGGCATCAGGATCTGCAACACACACACAGTCACATATATATCAGCTTCAGGATCTGCAGCACACACACAGTCACATATATATATCGGCATCAGGATCTGCAGCACACACACATTCACATATATATCGGCTTCAGGATCTGCAGCACACACACAGTCACATAAATATCGGCTTCAGGATCTGCAGCACACACATTCACATATATATCGGCTTCAGGATCTGCAGCACACACACAGTCACATATATATCGGCATCAGGATCTGCAGCACAACACACATTCACATATATATCGGCTTCAGGATCTGCAGCACACACACAGTCACATAAATATCCGGCTTCGGATCTGCAGCACACATTCACATATATATCGGCTTCAGGATCTGCAGCACTTTACACACAGTCACATATATATATCGGCATCAGGATCTGCAGCACACACACATTCACATATATATCGGCATCAGGATCTGCAGCACACACACATTCACATATATATGCGGCATCAGGATCTGCAGCACACACACATTCATATATATCGGCTTCAGGATCTGCAGCACACACACAGTCACATATATATCGGCTTCAGGATCTGCAGGACACAGTACACACAGTCACATATATATCGGCATCAGGATCTGCGCAATACACACATTCACATATATATCGGCTTCCAGGATCTGCAGCACACACAGTCACATATATATCCGCGGGCATCAGGATCTGCAGGACACACACAGTCACATATATATCGGCATCAGGATCTGCAGCACACACACAGTCACATATATATCGGCATCAGGATCTGCAGGACACACACAGTCACATATATATCGGCATCAGGATCTGCAGCACACACACAGTCACATATATATCGGCTTCAGGATCTGCAACACACACACAGTCACATATATATCGGCTTCAGGATCTGCAGCACACACACAGTCACATATATATCGGCTTCAGGATCTGCAGCACACACACAGTCACATATATATCGGCTTCAGGATCTGCTTACACACAGTCACATATATATCGGCTTCAGGATCTGCAACACACACACAGTCACATATATATCGGCTTCAGGATCTGCAGCACACACACAGTCACATATACATCGGCTTCAGGATCTGCAGCACACACACATTCACATATATATCGGCTTCAGGATCTGCAGCACACACACATTCACATATATATCAGCTTCAGGATCTGCAGCACACACACAGTCACATATATATCGGCTTCAGGATCTGCAGCACACACACAGTCACATATATATCGGCATCAGGATCTGCAGGACACACACAGTCACATATATATCAGCTTCAGGATCTGCAGCACACACACAGTCACATATATATCGGCATCAGGATCTGCAGGACACACACAGTCACATATATATCGGCATCAGGATCTGCAGCACACACACACAGTCACATATATATCGGCTTCAGGATCTGCAATACACACACACAGTCACATATATATCGGCTTCAGGATCTGCAGCACACACACACAGTCACATATATATCGGCTTCAGGATCTGCAGCACACACACAGTCACATATATATCGGCTTCAGGATCTGCAGCACACACACATTCACATATATATCGGCTTCAGGATCTGCAGCACACACACATTCACATATATATCGGCTTCAGGATCTGCAGCACACACACAGTCACATATATATCGGCTTCAGGATCTGCAGCACACACACATTCACATATATATCGGCTTCAGGATCTGCAGCACACACACAGTCACATATATATCAGCTTCAGGATCTGCAGCACACACACATTCACATATATATCGGCATCAGGATCTGCAGCACACACACAGTCACATATGTATCGGCATCAGGATCTGCAGCACACACACATTCACATATATATCGGCTTCAGTTTCTGTTGTTTAATGTCATACCCCTTACACAACAGTGTTTCTTATCCCTGAAAAGTGTAGTGCCTAAACAAGGTTAAGGGATGAGCTAGCTCGGGGTCAGTCATGAATGAGTGAGTTTAGTTTTACACCCCACTCAGCAATATTCTAGCTATATGGCGACAGTCTGTAAATAATCAAGTCTGGGCCAGGCAATCAGGATCTGTAGCAAAACATATTCATGTACAATGGCTTCAAGATCTGCAGCAAACACTCTCCTGTACACCTGTTTCAGGACCTGCAGGACACACACTCACACTCTTGCAGACGTCTACTCCGTAGTGTCCTTACATGTACCTATCACTGCATTTCACAACACAAATGCTAGAAGAATTAATTAGCATGGTACTTTCACTATCAAAAGATAGAATATTTCAATACATTAAAGTTCTACTAAAGAACAACTAAAGTTTGCTTTTACTTTTTTAGCATCTCCTACTACCACATATCAACAAACCTGAGTTTTCTTCTTCTGTGTTTTGTTTTCTTTCAATAAATGTTTTCTAGTGTCCAAAAGTACCCCTCTTGATTGTTTCTTAGGTTTGCTTGGTTGGGACAATATGCTGGAAGTTGTTCGTCTTCTGCTTTCCACCCTGGAAGCGCACCTGCTTAGCGGCAGATTTGGCCTTCCTGTTGCCAGCAGACGGCTTCCTGCTGCCCCCAGTCACAGCACTGTCAATCATTCTATGGAACCTATGACAATGTTCCACTCAGTATATTCATTTTGTCATGAAAGAATTTGTACATGAATACAACCAATAACATTTTCATCTTAATGAACATATAACATATACAGTATACAGTCAGCTGTCTCATACAGTACAGCTTTCAGGGGTCTGTCTAATACAGTACAGCTTTCAGGGGTCTGTCTAATACAGTACAGCTTACAGGGGTCTGTCTAATACAGTACAGCTTACAGGGGTCTGTCTAATACAGTACAGCTTACAGGGGTCTGTCTAATACAGCACAGCTTACAGGGGTCTGTCTAATACAGCACAGCTTACAGGGGTCTGTCTAATACAGTACAGCTTACAGGGGTCTGTCTAATACAGCACAGCTTACAGGGGTCTGTCTAATACAGCACAGCTTACAGGGGTCTGTCTAATACAGCACAGCTTACAGGGGTCTGTCTAATACAGCACAGCTTACAGGGGTCTGTCTAATACAGCACAGCTTACAGGGGTCTGTCTAATACAGTACAGCTTACAGGGGTCTGTCTAATACAGCACAACTTACAGGGGTCTGTCTAATACAGCACAGCTTACAGGGGTCTGTCTAATACAGTACAGCTTACAGGGGTCTGTTTAATACAGCACAGCTTACAGGGGTCTGTCTAATACAGTACAACTCACAAGGGTCTGTCTAATACAGCACAGCTTACAGGGGTCTGTCTAATACAGCACAGCTTACAGGGGTCTGTCTAATACTGTAGAGTATACAGAGGGCTGTGTAGTGACAAGAAGGTGAATGTGTATGTGCGGCTGCTTGTACTAGCCCAGTCTGAAGCTGGTTTTATAGTGCTAGCTCACTGAGATACTATGTCCGCAGTGAAGCATGAATACCCCACTCAGACACATTATACTGACTCCGAGCCGACCAGTCCTTGTTGTACCCATTAATGCCGAGCGCCAGGCAGGGACCAACAAGTATCATATTTTAACGTATTTTGGTATGACGCGGTCGGGGATCGAACCCACGACCTTCCGCTCTCTGGGCGGACGCTCTAACCACTACACCACAGAGGCGGTCTTGTAGTGACAAGAAAACAGGAAGTAACACATCACATGATCTGATGCACATTCCATGAAGTCCTCACCTCCTCCTGAGACGGTCATCCTGTTTGCCATTCTCCAACTCTGTGTCACTGAGGTAGCCAAGGTCAGTGTAGCTGCCATACTTCTCCCCGGCCCGAGTTGGGACAGTCGATGACTTGGCTGGCAATGGACGCCGTTTAGGCTTGATGTCAACGCGAATCATGCCTGATTCATCACTTTGACCCCTGGATGAGAAAAGACAAATCATGACAGCAATACCATGTATCTGAAGTGAATCTATCATTAGTGGAAATTATAGTTATATGCACAAGTCACTTCTTGAGTCCATGCTGACCAGCCATAGTTTGGTCAACCCAATGAAGAGCACCAGGCAAAGTTACAAGGACCATTTTCCAGTGGTTTCTGATATGCTGTAGCTAGGGAACCACTGACCTCCCACTCTCTGGGAGGGTGCTCAGTAGACAACAGTTATGTAAAGATGTATGACTCAGTTTCAAGCAGTATTTACCGTGTGTTTCTGGCGAGTTTCTCACGACTAACATCATTGCTACTGTAGGAATTGTCATCAAGGAAGGACACTTTCCTACTAGCTGCGCCTGGTGAAACCTAAAACCAAAAAAATATGAGTAAAATTGATAGCTTATCCTGACTCATAACTTTGAATTCATGACATAGTGGAACCCATATGTACCAACAGCTTAAGTCCATGGCACGAGTTATCATGTCCACAAAGAGAGTGAGAACCTTAGCACCTTGAATATTTAGGTACAGGAACTTATGATGGACAAGTGTCTTAGCACCAAGGTCACAAGTGGACATGAGTCAGGATAAGGAAACATATGGAAATATCTTACAATGACTCCATTGATGTCCATAAAGCAACCTTAGCACCTTGAAATCAGGGTGATCTATGATTTTCCTCACAAGTTTAGGAAAAATACTTACAATGACTTGACTAAACATCAGAATATATTTTGTCCTGTTCTGATAATAGAATATATTGTCTGTTCTGATAAAAGTTTGTTACAGCTGTCATTTACTGAGGCTTGAAGAACTGAGATATTTCTCATTGAAATATAGCAATCTGTGACTCACAGCAAGTCTTGAGCGAATGAGATCTGTTCGTCTCGGAGCAGTAGGATCTTTAGCAGCAGCATTCAGGTCATGTGCAAGGTGGTGATCTTCCGTGTCTGGGGCTTTTGTAATTGGGTCCCTGAAGGAAACAGTCTATACATGACACAGTGAAATGTACATTGATGCATCAGGGGCAAATATCTGTCAACATACACCATGATTGCCATACAGTATAAGTTGTTCACTGGTCACGAGGGGTGCATGGGTTGATGTACCCTCGATGATGTTTGTTTATGTTCGAAGGGCAAGGGAGCCCTTTTTATCAAACGTATTTATATTTATCTTACAACACCTTAATGTTAATTTTGAATTGTTTGAAGCACGGGTACAAATCTTTTTTGTAGCCATTGCTAGATTTTGCTGAGAAGAAAAACAGATTTAGAGTTATCTCCCTTCCATCGATTTGCATTCGCAAAACATCGGTAATTTCTGTACATCATACGTGATTCAATGTTATTTGAGATAAAGAATTACTACCACGAACGAAGAGTTGCCATTGACAGCGGGGTACATTGAAATGTTACTCGCTTGTAAGCGGGGTACATTGAAAATAATAGAAGAGCACTCAGCCAATCAGAAAGCGACATTTATGTGTGAGGTAAGATAAACATACATACCCATAGCCAAGTTTCCTGGATGTGGGATAGTCTCGCACCAAGTCTCTATCTAGGGGTGTCCTGTAGTCGGTGAGGGCATCTCGCTCCAAATTCGATCTGATGGGGCTGGTTCGGACAGCGGCACGGACATACGCTGCTGTCTGTGACACCAGACTATGGAGATCTGTATAGGATGAGGCTAGACCCTTGGCCGCTAGAGGACGAGAACTGGAATGGAAAGTATCAATGTGTCCATATTACAAAAGAATGGTTTGAGATACTTCTTACACAACAGTGTTTCTTATCCCTGAAAAATGTAGTGCCTAAACAAGGTTAAGGGATGAGCTAGCTCGGGGTCAGTCATCAACAAAGGGGCAGCTGCAGGGTCAAGCCCAAGTCAAGCTGCAGCCTCAAAGCACTTGATGCCTGCGATATCCTTGAGGGGAGAGGCGTTACAAGGTTGATACAGGAGGCAGTAGGGGCTATGTTGAGATTGATGTCCTCACCTAGACAGGGACTGAAGGCAGAACAATTGACCCCTAGTCAGAGAAAGAACAACTTGTTGTGCAGGTTGGTACAAAAACGTGCAGAAGTTGAGTTAAAAAAAAGTGAGTGAGTTAAAAGTTTACATCGCATCAGCAATTTTACAGCCACATAGCTATGAAAACAAGGTAATCATTTTAAAGTAAAAAAAGGGCAAGCATGGTCAACCCTTGCTGTCAAGGCACATTAATATTTAACGACAGGAATGAAAGCAAGCTGAACCACGGTAGCACAGTATGTGAATAATCAGACAAACCATGGTCAGCCATGCTGTTGGGGTTACTGTGCCACAGATGCAGCTGGGAGGAAGTCTTAGCTTCTCATGTATAATCATACTGACAGCTGTTGGAGTTACTGTGCCAGATGCAGCTGGGAGGAAGTCTTAGCTTTTCATGTATAATCATATTGACAGCTGTTGGGGTCACCAAACATGGGAAATGGGAGACATTTCTACCCTTGAATCCTAAATGGATTGAATCTTATGACTAAACGCTATAACCATAAACTTCTCATACGATGTATTTACATGACAAATGTTGAAGTAATAACCAATGGCATATTGTCCTGACCTATGTGTTCCAGCAGTAGCTGTTGTAGATGTAGTTTTGGTTGCACCTGATGTTGCCCTGCCATGTGTTTGCTGGTCAGAGTACTCCACAGGTCCAACTGTTGCCCTGAGTCGATCTTTCTCTGGTGTCTGGTGCCTACTTGGCAGGGGAGCTGATGCTGAGAAATCTACATAGAGAGGAATATGTGTAACAGCTGACATCTTGCTTTACAAAGACAATGATTCAAGTGACTGTCAAACACTAAGGTAACAAATACAATATTTCGGATTAAACATTTTTAATGTAATATGTACTTCAGTAAGAAAGAGTAATTCCAAACATAACATTTATCACAATTGACCAGGTTCTAAGAGGGATTATGTATTGATGTCAGATACTACCAGATACTACCAGATGCAGAACAGCCTGAAGTTATTGAGTGAAGAGTGAGTGAGGGAGTAAGGTTTTACTCAGCTTTCAACAATATTCCAGCAATAACATGATGACGGACACTAGAAATGGGCTTCACATATTGTACCCATGTGAGGGAAAAACAACCCAGGTTTTCGGTGACAAACAGATGCTTTAACCACCAGGCTGCCCCACCACCAAACAAACAGAATAGATAAAGTCATCCATAAAAATACAGACTTTCTGCTACAGAAAATATACACTTGGCCACGATATTCCAGCTATATGATGGTGGTCTGTTATGAATTAAGTCTGGACCAGACAATCCAGTGATTGATATTGTGAACATTGATCCATGCCATCCTGGATATGATGAGATACAATTAATAAAGCAACCGAGTGTGACTGGGGACAAATTCTAACCTAGATTCCCAACTCCATGGTATTCATTTAGCTACCAAATCAATATTATCTGCTATTACGCAAAAACCTGGGTTTATTTCTAGAGACAAGACATATTTTCAGCCAAGGAGTACACAAGCTTATACTTCAGAATAACACATAGAAAGGACACAGCACAGACCATAAAGCAACAAGAAAAGACAAGACAAAAACAAGACATGTTAAGCACACCTGACACACAAGATGGGTAATGATGGTACAAATGATGGGTGATGGTGCGATGCTGAGTCACAGTACCACTGGATTTATCTTTAGAAGCCTCTGCAGTTGTGCTGGGGCCATCTTGTCTCCTCTTGGGACGCTCCCCAAGGTGGTCGAAGGTGGATGCAATGTCAGCATGGGGCTTCTGTGGATCAACAGAAGCACTCAAAAAGTGAGTGAGTGAGTGAGTTTAGTTTTACGCCGCACTCAGCAATATTCCAGCTATATGGTGGCGGTCTGTAAATAATCGAGTCTGGACCAGACAATCCAGTGATCAAGAGCATGAGCATCGATCTGCGCAATTGGGAACCAATGACATGTGTCAACCAAGTCAGCGAGCCTGACCACCCGATCCTGTTAGTCGCCTTTTACGACAAGCATAGTCGCCTTTTGTGGCAAGCATGGGTTTGCCAGGAGAATATAGAACTAAATCAACCATAAATTTATACAAACCTGTAGAGGTTATGAATTCGTTGAAGAAAGTCCTCCTTGGGGTACATGTAAGCATTAAAATGTCCATTTTAAATCCTACGACAGTTGTAACTATATTTTTCAATAAAATATGTACAAAACAAAAAACTTGTTTTGTCTTGTGAGACCACCCCTACAGGGCCCCACCGGACCCCCTACAGCCAAGAGCAGGTAGCTCTTGCCGTCTACCTTGTACCTCACTTTTCATGCTGAACGTATCAGACAGAATGAGGGGAGGCGGGTGGCCGTACCCCAAGGAGGACTTTCTTCAAAGAATTCATAACCTCTACAGGTTTGTATAATTCTTTTTCAGAAGAAGTCCTCCTTGGGGTACATATCAGCATAAGACAGACCCCCAAAGATATTTGAGATGGGAGTGGCATTCTGTCTGGCAACAACTAAACCCGTGGTGGAGTGAAATCTGCAACTGATACTGGGAATAGAAAAACACACTTACCGAGCCACCTGACCGCTGATGTCAATCAGGTGGGGCGTGGCTAGGAAGGAAATAGAGAGCCCAAGCTTATACGTCAATTGGCTCAAATCAATTATGAATAATAACTCCAACCCCAACCATTACAGTGGAAAGGAATGTATGGGGACATGCGAAACAACTCCCAACCTTAATAACCCCAACCAGAGAAGTGTGGCGAGGAGAGGTATAAGGGTAGGGAAAGCGTAGAAAGCATACTAAAAGCCAATAACCCAGGAGTCGAAAGCTAATAAGTACTGCAAAATAATGCTAAAAGTGCACCCTCCTGTTTGGAAGAGGGCTTGCCGGGACCTCGATAAAACCCAGAGAAATTCTTAGCCCTCGCTAAAAAGTTTGAGGAAATCGAGCGCAGTACAAGCGCCATGCATTATGCAGTGAAAACAGGATAAAACACCCCAAAACACTCTCGGCATGAGGTAGGTAAGTGTAAATCACCATCACCCAAAGTGCTGATTAACACAGACTCCCAAACACCGAAGTCTCGGGGAAGAGGAAAAACTGTTAGCGTGCAAAAATCATCTGAATAGCGAAAAGTGTAGCCGAACATGTGTTGGCTTACTATTACACTAACCTGGTCACGTGACATGCGGCTCAAAGAGAGGCATACCAAACAGTGCCCTGTGGGTTCAGACCCAATTCCGTCATAAGGCGGAATAATAGCATATGACTGGTTAAAGCGTTCAAAACCGGCCCCCGCTTCTCTCTTTTAAGTGAAGAGGACGGCGTATGTATGTACACCCAAACCCGACCCAACCCGAAGGGTGGTAAGGCTAATAATGATGTAGTGATATGAACCATATCGACCTTGAACACAGAACCGATACCAATGACCAGTTTCTAACTTGGTCAGGGTGGCAGGACACTCTCCACTGGAGAGAACCGAAAGACCAAACCGAGCACGATCCTTACAATGCGTGTCAAGTCGGTAATGGCGATGAAGGTGTTCTGCGGCTCCAAAGAGCGACAGAACCGATCTCTTCATTGAGCAGTGCCGCTGTGTATTGCCAACAAAGCAGCATCCGCCCTACCCAGTCTGCCTACAACCCTTCAGGGAAGGTAAACCTTAGCATTGTAACCGAACAATTACGGAAACAAGCCAGCGAGATAAAGTTCGCTTGCTAGCAGACTCCCCAGTCTTCCCCGCCACCAAACAGAATACATGGGTACCCATCACGGATCCCTTTAGTTCGATTCGTTATAGTCACTCAACGGGTGAGCAATCGAAAAGATCGGTCCCGGTGTGGAAGGCTGGGTAAAGGGTGGAAGTTCGATATGAGCAGTCGAAGCAATATCGAACTGAGAGTGGTAGGTATCCGGGAGGCGAATATGGACATGATCAGTATAAAATACTGTCAGTGTCAGGTCAGTGGGTATCTCATGGATGTACCCAACCCTTCTACCAGAGCTCACCACCACAAGAAAAGCCGTCTTCCCGTCAACAAGTGAAATGAGAGAGACGATATACTTGAAAAGTCAGGGCCAGACAGCCAATTGGCATTTTAAGGTGGGCTGGGTCGCCATGAGGCGGTCGAACCCTGTTTATGCCAGCTGGCAATGGCTATGCGAGAGGATGCTGCCTAGGCAGACCAACATCAAGCGAGGTGTGAAGCGTGGAAATAGCCATGGAGTACCGGGGAATGGTGGAGGTCATAAGGCTCTTAAACAAAAGCGAGGTTATAGTAACTCCAATATCCGAACTAAATCCGCAGAATAGGGATTATGAAATCCCCTATCTGCACACCAGTCGCCCCACCTATCAACACACTGAAGCGGGTGTCAATCCCGCCTCAAAACCAGAATTGTGTCTGCAACAGCTGCAGGAATTCCGCGTGTCTGGGTGTTAGACCCGACAGAGGTCAAGCCAGACTAGTGAATCCGAGGATTCAGATGTGGTGCCCGTTCAGAGTGAGAATGTCTGGCTGAAAGGTAATTGAATCCCAGCGTGCGGGATCGAACACCAACCTGACTGCTGTCAATTCCAGCACATTGATGTGCAGGTTGTGACCGTCATCAAGAGACCGCAGGTCACCCAGAACATCTCCCTAACCCTGGGAGGGATGTATCTGGCTGGATTGAACAGCGGTGTCTCCAGGGGCCCCCAGAGAGAGCCTCACGCGTCTGTCCATCTGACTGCGTGAGGTTGACAATCCGCCCAGTTTCGTAAGAGTGACCAACACTGATCGTGAGGTTCCCAGACTAAACAGTTATTCTAAAACCACAATGAGCCAGTCGCCTAGGTGCGGGTGACAACACCGGCACTCGCGATCTGGCTATCTGGGCTGTAATAAACCTCAATTTGGTGAACATCCTTGGCGCCGTAATGTAGCCTAAGGGGAGCAAACAAAACTGGTAGCGGCGTCCATCAAAAGAAGGAACAAGAAATCTTGAAATCAGGTCGATTGAACGTCGGTACAATATCTCGAGGTCTGGATGTGCCAGATGACAGATGAGATCACCGGCGTGGTGTCTCCATCTTGAAGGACCGTACCTCTATTAACTTGTTCAGCTCTCAGATGAGAATGGGTATGAACATTCCGTTCTTAATGGCAACAAGGAAATAAATGGAGTCAAGCCCCACATTTCCTGACCATTGGAAACCACCTGATGGTTTGCCTTCCTGAGACTGAATCTCAGCACGGAGTATTTTAAGCCGTCTCCTGGGAAGCCGACACTGGTGTGTGTCACACTTCTATCAGGGTTTGTAGCAGAATACAGTAAACCCCTGCAGTCGGCAACATAATGTTTGCCTGTGCCTGGGCACCTGAGGATTAACGAGAAGAGAAGATCGACAGACTTCCCGGCCGAATAGGCCCATAACCGCACTCATCATTTGGCTGGCACATGTACAATGCAGTCCTAGCCAGATGAGAGTTGACCTGTCAGAGCCCAGAGTCACCAATGATTTTCCCCTTTCCACCAGCTCCCTCAGCAGAGCTGAGAGATGCGCCAAGTGGAGCATACAGCGTTGAGCTGTTAAGGGGAAAGAACGGCAGACTGACACGGTAGAGTGTGAGGGCCTTGCTGGAAGCAGGCTTCCCTCAGGAAGAGAACTCCAACGGTTCGGGTATTTGACTTGGACAACACCTGAGGCAACACAGCCGCGATTCTATCTCACACCTGCCTCAGGGACTAACCTACTCAGTGTTAATTAAGTTCAAAGTAGCAAAAGAGCTGAAGCTCAATTTGACTTGTCCACTGTATGAGCCTGAACCCCGTTCCAAGGCACATGGGAGAAGCCTGATAAATCAAGGTATCCCAAGCACTCAGACAGACCTCCGAGCCTCGGTGTCGACACACCGGGTGACCGAGGTGGTCAAAGGCGTCGATAGTCATCAGGGCCCAGACCTGAACTACCGGCGCGCGGGGAATCTGCGCCCTACCAGTGCCGAAGCCGGTCGGTGCTATTCCACGAGGTTCAGAGCATCCAGCGGAGCCGAAGCTCGGCGGTTCTAGACCGAACCCCGATCCCAAGACGCGTAGGAGTAGCCTTATAAATCAGGGTCCCCAGTACTCTCAAAAGCGCACTGAGCATATACTCAAAGATAGCCTATAGTGCTATATAAATACCCATACATACATATATATATATATACATACTTGGGTTGGCGGTTCGAGTTCGAACATACATCCAAACACCTGAGAGTAGCCTGACAATGCAGGGTTCCCCTGGTGTACGAGGTGCACCTCGGTACGAGGTGATCAGTAGCTCCGTACATTAAGCGGCCACATACGATAGACATCAGGCGAGACCTACTAATAGCACGGGGGATCTGCTCGATACATATACGAACCCACCAGTCGGGTGTAGCCTGGCAATGCAGGGTTCCCCCGGGTAGACCTCTGGCGTCAACATCGGGCACTATCAGACCTAGGCCTGGGCGTTGATAGACATCAGGCCGAGACTTGAGCTTCTCGGCCGGGGATCGGCAGCTCTGTCACACTCAACAGCCTCACAAAGGGTGATAGACATCAGGCCAGGAGACCTAGGAGCTGACCGGCAGCTCTGTCACACTCAACAGCCTCAGATAGACATCAGGCCAAGAAGCCGCACGGGGGTCGGTGCTAGTCCCCAGGTTCAGAGCATCCCCGAGCCGAAGATCGGTCCGATCATCCCCGGGAGGTCGGACCCTTCCTGGAACCAGAGCTTGGGGTCGGGACCTCCCCCAATTGATGCGCCGTTGCAATCTCTACCGTAGACTGGGTACCCAGTCTCCTCTCGGAGTCTGGAAACCACGTCTGAGATAAGAGAAGTCACCCGGCGATCTTAAGCTGCTGCTATAAGAAACATAACACAACATAATGTAACAGGAATATTGACGCAAGGGTGCTTTTATGAACATACTTGATCGTCGTGAGCGTCCTCGGCTAAGCACCGGAGGCACACCTTATGACCATCCTGTGGCGGTAGTGTGCACGGCACAACGCACAGGGCTTAAACTGCAACAAACAGAACCATGCCAGTGTTACTAGCAGGAACTGTGAAGCAGCAAACATATAAACACAAGTAAATAGCAATAAATAAAACGCACGGGCGATATTTAAATGCTACAAGCTACAGCCATTTAAATACTAAACATACAATGCAAAGCAGAAAAAGGCTAGCCGCACCTGCGTGCGACTGACCACAAATTAGCTGAAAATCAAAATTAGAGAATTTAGGCATGCCTGAACCATATAATATGCAAATTATAATATATAAACTTCCTACACAAGCTACCAAGAACATGTAGCAAAGGAAACCACGATCACGCGGTCTGCCATTTTGCCTGCCACAAGGCTGGAAAACAGAGAACCCATGACAAAGTTACAACAAAAGATGAATGACAATATCATCATATGAAGTCCATCTAACGCCCGTGCGTAAAGAAAGGAACCATACATACAGATTGAGACTCTTTTACACTCATCGTATCGGTAGGAGAGCAAACTCGAAACGAACACCACACACGTCTATTCAACAGAACGACAGCATGAAAAGTGAGGTACGAGGTAGACAGCGAGAGTTACCTGCTCTTGGCTGTAGGGGGTCTGGTGGGGCCCTGTAGGGGTGGTCTCACAAGACAAAACGAGTTTTTTGTTTTGTACATATTTTATTGAAAAATATAGTTACAACTGTCGTAGGATTTGAAATGGACATTTTAATGCTTATATGTACCCCAAGGAGGACTTCTTCTGGAAAAGAATCATAGTCCCTTAAAGATAAATCTCAGGGAAGCAAGAACTCATAGAGGAATTGCCTTTCATCTTGAAAACATGATGACTTACAGGATAAGGCTGGAGCAATGGTCCATCTGTATCATCAAGACGCTGTTGTATTCTGTGTGCATCTTGCACAAGCTCTTCAGTTGAATCAAGTCGGCCTAAATAATGAGCACATCAATACAAATTTGTTGAATGTCATTCATTGTAAAATGATTGCTAAACTTCCTCATTATAACAAATACTAACTGAAAATGCTGAAAGAAAACCTTTCTTCACTACAACACCAGACATTCTTTATACTTTGAATGGAATCAACATGATACTGATCTATTCCTTGTTTGGTCAGCATTCTTGAAATTTCACACAATATTATGGCGAACAACTTTTGTTTATTGTACAGAGTTATGTTTCAGAGTCGATTATTACACCATTTATATTGACTTTTACCTTGATAATGTACTGAAACAAAGCTCCAAGCAATAAACAAGAAGTTGTAATCCATAAAGTTGTATGCTTCGTGATCTATGACTGGCTAACACAAAGTTTCAACATTCTTACCATGTTTATTGCAGATTTGATATTCACAATTAATATCCTCACATGTTTACTTCACTTGTGATATGACTGACTGATCCAGTTTATAAAAAACATACTCCCACCCCTGTTTACTGACCTGGTGATACCCATGTGTTTTCCTTGATGTGGGTGGGAGGCGGAGACAGCCTGCGTGATGAGGCTCCATGTTGAAGGTTCAGCTCCTGACTCCGTAGCAGTAAATTGTTTGCTCTCTCTAGAAGGTCAGAGGTTTTGTCATACAGCTTCTTAGACATTGCCCCTGCCAAGAGAATACTTAACACTGTAACTCTTTTAGTTATAATCATGTGCCTTCATTCACAAAGAACACGTGCGACACAGTGTAAGGATTCAATGCTATGCATTTACTCTCTGGAGATGTCACACAATTACATGAAAATGATGCATTTAGTGTAAAACTATCATAGTTATATATTCAAGAAGACATAGCAAACAAATATGGCAAAAGGTGCCAGTTGGTCAATCATGCCTGTGGAGTATTCTTTGATAAGATTCATGGCTCTATATTCTCACCTTTACTATGTGCAAGGAGAGGTATAGGAGATCCTGTCGGAATGGAAGCAACCTCATCATCAGTTGGGGAGTGTCTGAAGAGTTGACATGAACAGTGTACACAAACATTGGATTCATCTTCCATTACTCATCACTATTTCCTGACTATCGAGCATCATGATCAAAACAGATACATGATGAAATAACATCCAACATTTGCACAAGGTTACTTGTACTAAAATACTTGCAGCTGTTTTAATCTTTTTTATACGACTGAATTGTCAATTGATGTTTATCAAAACTATAAAGATTACTCTTGTAATTTCATGACAGTCCTTTACCTTGTATATAGGTCTGTTATTTTTGCTGGTTTATCTGTGTGTGTTGCTCCTTGTGTGAGCCGAGACGGTCGATCCCACCTCACTTCACGACTTGACAACTCATCAGTCACATCATGGGACGGCACAAAGAGACCAGAATTCCGAGTATCTGACAAACGTTACACACGTCTCAGACATAATGTAAAGGGGCACTAATTATGTCGGTTACAGTTACACAATTGTCTAAAATATACAAAATGAGCTAAAATGCTAATAGTATCAGTGAACAAGGTGAGGTGAGGTGAATTTGGGTTTAACATTGTGCTTGAGAATATTTCCCTCATATGACGACGTGCATGCGTGTGTGTGTGTATGTGTGGCTGCTTGTACTAGCCCAGACTTAAGCTGGTTTTATAGTGCTAGCCCACTGAGATACCATGCTGCAGTGAAGCATGAATACCCCACTCAGACACATTATACTGACTCGAGCCGACCAGTCCTTGTTGTACCCATTAATGCCGAGCGCCAGGCAGGGACCAACATGTACCATATTTTAACGTGTTTTGGTATGACTCGGTCGGGGATCGAACCCGCAACCTTACGCTCTCCAGGCGGACGCTCTAACCACTACACCACAGAGGCGGTCAGTGAACAAGGACATATACATGATATAAATATAGTAGACATGTTAAAGGGGAATGATCTTGTGCTGATATGCAGTCCGAATGTAGATGTTATTAGTCCTATGTATGAAACTGAGACACTGCATCTGTGTAGTCATGGTAACCATTAACAGTTAAAAGTATTCATGAAAAATACTTAACATCCTCAGAGAAACAAAGTGGTGTTTGAGTGACCTCAACCAAAGTTGCTAGCACATAAATAAAAGTCAGTGTCTTAACAGTTTTGATCAGTGACTAAGGTGAGTGGGGAGGATAACAGTATTTACCATCTAGGTCAGTGGAGAAGTCGCTGTCTATTTTGTTGAGGATGATGTCAGCCAGCATGGCAATGATCTCCAGGAGATTCTGTATGACAACTGCATCCCCCTCCACGATGCTGCGCCCACGGATGTGCGACAGTGAGGTGTGGAGGTTGGCAGCCAGCTGATCAATGATGACCTGACAGTTGTGGGTCTCATCTTCTTGAGTGATGGGGCTGGCGATAAGCCCTATGGAAAAAGTAATCACGTATAATACAGGATAAACTGTTCGATGCTGACAATTTTAAGAACTTTCAGCTCGAGATGTTTTACCAAACCTGTAGATGTTTTCAATTCTTTGAAGAGAATCTTCCTTGGGGTTCATATATGCCAGGGGTTCATATACGGCCAGCCAGGTACAACCCTATCCCCAAATCATCATTCCTTCTGCTGACGATACACATCAGTGAACAGAATAGCGGGGAGGTGGGAGGTCCTACCCCAAGGAAACTTCTCTTCAAAGAATTGAAATACTCTACAAGTTTGTTAGATTATGTCAAGAGGTGTGTATAGAGAGAGATCTGCCTTCACCAATTTCAGGGAACTTGTTGCCATATGCATAAACACAAACAACCAAAGGCACCAGTACTCCCAAGAGACCAAGTCTTGAAGAAATATTGAACGGGAGGAGGGAAATTCTGTTAGCACTGCGGACGACGGACAAAACCATTTTAATATGCAAAAAGATAAAAAACATAGCCGAACGAGCGGTATATCACCTTGACACTTACCTGGTCACGTGACGTGCGGCTCAAAGAGAGGCATACCAGGAGGTGACTGTAAGGGAGGTTTCAGACACATTTCCAATCTCAATTGTGTTAAGCAGAGAACGCAAAATAGCCTTCAAATATCACCCCTCACTCTTGTAAATAAAGAGAACATAAGGGATGCACATACAGTCAGATCCAACCAACCCCAATAGGGTGGTAAGGTTATGAGATCGTAGTGTCATGAGCCTTCAATTGGAATGTCAATAACACCCAATGCCAATGACGAGACTCACTCGGTCAGGGTGGCAGGACACTGCCCACTGAAGAGAACTGAGTGACCAAACCGAGCACGATCCTTAGAATGCGTGTCGAGTTGGTAGTGGCGAATGAAGGCGATCGGCCTGCTCCAAATAGCGATGGAACAGATCTCTTCAATGGGCATTGCTGCGGCAAATGCTGTCGAAGTAGCAACCGCCCTTACAGAATGAGTATTCAACCCCACAGGGGGAAGCTTACCTTTAGCAACATAAGCCGCACAAATAACAGACACGAGCCAACATGAAATTGTTTGTTTACAGTGATGTAAACATCACAGCAGCAAAACAACTGGGTACTTGTACAGATATCCTGTGTTCGTTTGATATAGACCTTGAGGGTCTGGTGGACATCCAACAGGTGAGCACTCGCAAGAGCGGTCCCCAATGTCGAAGCTTGGTAAGAGTTAGGAAGTTCGATAGGAGATGTCACCTGGAAAGCATGATCGATCTTAGGGCAGTAACTACCCAGGAGGTGAATACTGACACGATCAGCATGAAAATACATCAGTGCTGGGTCGGCGGACATCACATGAATATCCCCGACTCTTCTACCGGAGGTCACCGTCACAAGAAAAGCCCTGTTTTCCATGTCAACAACTGAATGGAAATAGCTGATAGATGTTAGAAAGCAGGACCGGACAGCCAATCGAGAATGATTGACAAATCCCAAGGTAGTCTGGTTAGCCTAAGAGCAGGTCGAACCTGATCCACGCCAACTAAGAAGTGCTGCAGAAGAGGGTGCTGCCTCAGAAGAGCACCATCGACAGGGGTGTGAAACGAGGAAATAGCTGTGGAGTATCCACGAATGGTTGAGGCTACCAAACCCTCTTCCAAACGGGATTGAAGGAACTCCAAAACCCAGACTAAATCCACAGAAAAGGGATCTGCAATCCCCCTATCAGCACACCAGCGTGCATACACGGTCCACCTATCCTCATATTGAATATTTGTCAAATCCTGCCCCCGAAGCCAGAATTGTGTCTGCAACTGCAGGAGGAATTCCGTGTGCCTGGAGGTTAGGCCTGACAGAGGCCAGAATCTGTGGATTCAGGTGTGGCGAGCCATTCTGAGTGAGAACGTCCGGCTGTATAGGTAATAGAACAGGAGGCTGAGCCAGAAACCTGAGAATCACCAGAAACCAGCTCTGCGACGGCCAAAGAGGTGCCTGTAGCACAAGTAGATGAGCTGGCTGGGTGGACAGCTGGGATACCCTGTCCGTCCAATCCAGCAGGCAGGCGTCCGAAGCCTCTGGTCCGGTATATGAGAGAATAACACTGATATCTGAATTGTCCTGCCAGACACGAACAGATCCACCTTGAACGACCCATACAACTGGGAAATAACCCTGAATATTCTCTGATCAAGCATCCACTCGTGCGGGCATGTTTTCAAACCCAGGGAGATATACCGGGATCAACTGACAGTCGTACCTGTCGCACCAGAGTAGGAACTCCCACGTCTCCTGAAGGATTGCTTGAGACACTGTGCCGACTTGCTTCAGGACGTATTTCATAGCTGTGCAGTTGTCTAACTGCAGACACACCACCTGGCCCTACACATGCTCCTTGAAGCTCTCAAATACCAACCTGACTGCTCTCAATTCTAACACATTGATGTGAAGTAGTGCTTTGGACTCACACCAGCGTCCGGAAGCTGACAGACTGCCCACAACACACACCCAGCGGGTGATGGATGTATTTGTTTGAACAGAGAGAGCCAGTGCCAGGAGTACCAATGGCATCCTCCTGGAGAGATTCCCGGCATCTGTCCACCACTGAAGGTGAGGAGACAACCACTCGTGAACTACGAGAGACTTCTTGAGATCCTCTGAGGGAGCCCACATGCTCTCCAAAGCTTGCTGTATAGGGCGCATCCTCAACTGTGCCCCCCACACCACATCGACGGTTGTCGCCATAAGACTCAGCAAATGGAGCCACGTTCATGCTGGGGCCTGGGGACATGAGGGGAATGAAGACACCATCTCCCGTACACGCATGACACAGTCAGGCGATAGGGATACCATACTCTCGTGAGTGGTGAATCAGGACCCTAAGAAAACCAGATCCTGGGAGGGTACCAGGTCGTATTTCTTAAGGTTCACAATCCATCCCAGCCGTACTAGAATATCTAGCACCACATGCGTAGAATCTAGACTCGCTGGTTGAGTCAGTGCTCGCAGCAACCAGTCTTCCAGGTAAGGGTGACAACACCTTCCTTGCTCCGAGCTATTTGCTTTGGCACCACCATAAGTTTGGTGAACACCCTTGGAGCAGTGGATATATGCCGAAGGGGAACACCCGAAACTGATAACAAACCCTGTTGTAAGAGAACCAGAGGTAACTCTTGAATGAGGGGTGTATCGGTACATGAAGATACGAATCCTTTAGGTTGATTGACGTGAGAAAATTGATGGGCTGAACTGAGGAGATCACTGAGCGAAGTGTCTGCATCTTGAAGGATGGAACCTCTATCGTGCGATTTAACCCCTTGAGGTTGAGAATGGGGTGGAAGCCACTGTCCTTCTTGGGTACGAGAAGTATGTGGAGTACATGCCCAGGTGTTTTTGTCCATGGGTACACGCTCTATGGCAGACTTTCCAGCAGAGCCGGAACTTCATCCATGAGAATCTACGCCGAACCGTATGGTGGAAAGCACCCCAGGATTGGACGTCACCCGTCCCATTCTGTAAGAAACAGAAACGACCACCCACAGGGGCGTCTGGTATAAGTGCATGGGTCTCCTCGTGCCACACATGAGGCAGAGACAAACCTACCGGGGCAACCAGCAGCCCAAGCAGGAGGTCGGGCAACCAGCACCACTCTGCCCTTTGCCTCTACCCTTGGCACTATGGCTCCTCTTCCTGCTCTTGCCTAATGGTCACAACCAACCGGAAGAGTGGGGCCTAGGCAGCGCCCCAGAAGAGGAGCTCGCCGTGGGAGTGCAGGTGCGAAGGATAGCAGAAGGAAAGATGATTTGGGAATAGGGTTGTACCTGGCTGGCCGCGCATGTGTGGTAAGGGAGGTAATCCCACGTGGTGGGGGCCATATAACAAATAAAGAAGACTTTTTATTTTGTACAATATTTTTATTAAAACGTTGTTGCAACTGTCACAGGACATTTTCAGTGGCAGAAAATGCATATATGTACCCCAAGGAAGATCTTTTCTAAACAAGAGTCATAAGAAGATGACATATCCCCCCGGCCCCCACATCTTTGAAAGAACAAATCATCTGACAGTTACTTGAAGTCCAGCTTGATCTTACACTAAGTGCAAATCGTTTCCATGGAAACCAAGAAAATAATAAATCACAAAAATCTGTAAATAGCAAAAGGCACCACTTTAGGTTCTGTTTGATATATCTACCAAGTTTTGCAGAAAAATACTGAACGGTTTCCGACTAAGTTATGCTGCCGAAACGAAAGGCACCCTTCAAGATCTGCCCCTCCCTTTAAGACTAAGTCCAAAACGTTTCCATGGAAACTGAGAAAACAAAAATGCAAAAAAACTGTAAATAGCAAAAGGCTCCACCTTAGGTTCTGTTTGATATATCTACAATTTTAGGTGAAAAATATCGAATGGTCTTGGAGTTATGCTGTGGAACAAAATGATTATGGACGGATGAACGGACGGACAGACAGACGGATGAGGCGACGACTATATCCCCCCGCATTACATGCCGGGGGGATAAAAAGAATGGTAAATCTCATTTATCACAAATATCTACCATCTAAAAATCTGACTAACGCTGTTAAAAGAATCATACTGTATCACACTGTCATTAGTGTTACTTAGCATCTAGTGTAATTTCAAGAATTTTCAATCACTCTTCCATACATTCCTTTCAGGATGGGGCGGGGTAGCCTAGTGGTTAAAGTGTTGGCCCGTCACGCCGAAGACCCGGGTTCGAATACCCACATGGGTACAATGTGTGAAGCCCATTTCTGGTGTCCCCCACCGTGATATTGCTGGAATATTGCTAAAAGCGGCGTAAAACCAAACTCAGTCAGGCAGTCCTTTCAGGACAAAAGTAAATAACTTCTATAATAAACAGAGTTATTGAGTAAATATTGCTTAACTCTGTATCAGCAAATTTAAAGTGAATAAGAAACAGATGTTAGTACTCACTTAGTACATGACTCAAGTACACTTGTTTTTCAACTGATTTTTTTTTTCTTTCACCTATAGAATTTCACTCCTGTCACGGAAACCATCATATCATGAATAGATTTGGTTTATAAAGTTGGGACCAGACAGTAAAATTACCTTGGGGTGTTTCTGCAAGGAAGCCTGTGAACAGATCAACCACGACTGTTGAAGTAATGTCTTCCACACACCTAACTACTCTTGAACTGTTGCACTGCCTCAGCAGCCTGTTGGCAAGAGACACTGAAAAAGGAAACATTCTGTCAGGTGATCAGCTTTCCAACCAGAAACATACATAATGAACAAAGTCAGATAATTTATATGTGTACCTTCAGTCAAGCATACAACAACAAGTTGCTTCTTACACCATATATATTGTTATAAGGCAGAGAAAGTTAATGTTCAACAATGATATAATTGTGTTTGAAAACAATTAGTTGTCAAGAAAGTATTACTATCTAATCTAAACAGTGGTGTTGAAGTTACTGCTTTTGGAATGTGCTGTAACCTGGAATCTTCTCAAAACATCTGTAGACTAATCCAGCACAGCATGGAACCCTCTGGAGTGAGTGAGTTTAGTTTTACACCACACTCAGCAATATTACAGCTATATGGTGGTGGTCTGTAAAAAATCAAGTCTGGACCAGACAATCCAGTGACCAACATCATGAGCATTGATCTACGCAATTGGGATATGATAACATGTGTCAACCAAGTCAGCGAGACTGACCACCCGATCCCGTTAGTCGCCTCTTACGACAAGCATGGGTTACTGAAGATCAATTCTAACCCGGATCTTCACGGGCTGGAACCCTCTGGAAGGTATTCACACAATGTAAGAGGTCAGGCACATGCCCCTCTATCTCTCTTTACATCAAGACCAGTAGTGTTGTGAAGAGCATATTTTTATTTAAAAAACTCAGCTCAGGCATTTTTTTAAAGCCTAACCATTGTCACTTCTAGGTAACATTATCAACACTCACTAGACTGCTATTAACAGCATAATTTTATGCTGCCATTTAAATTGTTACTCTACTGCGTCCTGCCATTGTAACCACCTTGCAGTAATTTACATTGATTTGTAAACAGGGTTTTACACAGACTTTGGGAGTCATTCTCAATATTTGGGAGTCATTAAAATTTAGCATAATATTTATGTGTGTATATCAAAAGGCAAAGATTTTATTGTTTTGTGTTGTATTCTCATTTATGTTAGTTAATAAACAGTATATTTTTCACAGTTCAGTTCAGTCATAACAAACTCGAGTATAGTGAGCAAATTATCAGGTTTGTGATTTATTCACTTTAACATACAGTTATTAACATGAATTGAAAGAAATATCTAAATTAATGAAGACCTCACGAAAACTATCATTGTTTGCTTATCAGATCGATTGTATTGACTCTGAACTGAATTGTCAGGGTAACTCATAAAACTTGCGTCAAGCTTGACTTGTATGATAATATTTTTAGAGTCTTTTACAAAATTGTTGCATCAAATACGCAGGAATCACGCGTCATGTAAAACCCTGTGTAAACATACTTCATTTTATAATACAATTGTTAATTGTATAATTGGTTTCACAATGAATTCTTTAGTGCATAGATTTCTGAGTTCACTTGCTCCAAGTTGGTAGTCAACATGTAACAGTGTGTATATGCATTACAGATCAGTTAACACAAGGATGACGTAAATGTGTGTTTGACCATTAATTTGATAACTTGCTAATGTGTTAAAACAAAAATTTAGATAATAGAGGAAAAAGCCTGATTTGCGATAACTGGCTGATAGTGATAATTTCAGCATTGCTTGACTGTAATATATGCCATATATTCACAAATATGAAAATTATCAGGGTAACAAAGTGAGTCAACTCATAGTTGTTACTGACATGTATGAAACATGACAGAGTTAGTGAGTACGTGAAACAAAAGAGAAAAATGGTATCATTCAATATTACATTCTCATTTGATAAACTTAAAGTCGGCCTTGGAAAACTTTCTCTATGCATGTGATGCTTTGCAGTCAATAATCACGACAACATACATCATAAAAGCCACATGACATATGTGAATATGATCACGATGAAGCATGTAATATGTTACATAGATCTGAGTTACATGTGTCATCAGTTTACGAGCAGAAAAGCCTTGTACACTATTGGCTGGGAACTTGAGTGATATACAGAAATCCTTCAATATGTTCATCACGTAAATGTCCTACAATGTAACAAATTTATCATCATCTTATTTTTGGTGAAATATATCTGTAAAACTATATTAGTTCTACTTGGTTCTGTATGGTAATTCAAATGTGAAAGTTTGTCCATTACGCAACAATCAGCAATTCATGCAGCCGACCTGTGCATCACAAGGTGGCATTCACTCAGTTTATCATGGTGAGATAACATCATATGAACCATTACAAGTTCATGATAAGGGTACAGCCAGTTGATTGACTTGCATTCATTTTTATATGACAGCAATGCATTGTTTATATACCATGACCTTTGACCAATAGTTATTAGATTATTATATAATGTTGTCAAGTGATGAGAACAGGTCTCACTGTCAATTATTACCTGGTTCAATCAAACATCACAAGCAACTGACCAATTAGATAGCTGGATTTTACAAATATTGATAAAATACTTACCAGTACCTGCTTCCGTCAGTTCACTGGTAGAACCTCGAAAGCTGTCCATAGCTTCGGTTCACTGAAATAGAGATGAATAAATTAATGTATGATCAAAGGGTCAAAATACAGAATTAATTCTAATGTCAGCAACAGTGATGAGCAAAATCAAGAGACTGCGATGCCATGAATCCTGAACAGAACCTACATCTTATACATGTAAGCACTTGAGGCAGCTCATGGGTCAATGGAAAGTTGTTGATGTTGGAAAAGAAAATCTAAAATCAATTCCCATGTCGATATCAAAATAAAGTAGAGCGAGAGAGTGATTTTCAAGACTTTTGACAAATTGGTGAAAACAAAATCAACAAGACAGTATTACCATGAGAATACTTAAATCAAAGCAAACCAATCAATTGGAAACCACAAGGCTAGTACGAGAGCGTCAACGAACGACGTTGGATACACTGAAAATTTTGGTTTGGGTGCAAGTTGACACATGTCGTGGACTAAATAAAAATGATATTTACTTAATCCTTCGACAGAGTTATTCCATATGCATATCCGCCTAATTACCCTCTTCCAAAGATGGAAGTCCAATCCGTTTTCGTTCGATGATTCACGAAAATAGTACTTTTCAAACAAAAAACATGCAGAAATGTGTGTTCACAAACTCGAACAGTACCGCTTCTGTCGTGTTTACGATTTGTTTAAAGCTTTATAAATCAAGACATCCCATTGGGTCCGATAAATCGATTGGCCAATCCACAAACGTGTAACAAACTAGGAGAAGAGCAGATAACTCTAAGAAAAGTAATGGCGACGGTGCAAGTGCTTTGCCCGAATGGGCGACGTCAAAATGTTAAAATAACACCTAATTCTAAACTTTTACAAGTGAGTTTAGGACCGTAGTGCCAACATTTCCGGAAACATACACCATTGTTGTCAAAACGACATTATCAACAAACTCTGTCAGAATTTATATGTGCAACTACTGACAAGTTTCCGTTATTTCAGTGGCGGAACAAAGATAGGATGCGTAAATTATTTTTAGAACAAATTCACGTAAATTAATATTTTTATCTTTAAAGTTCAGGAACAGTCAAACGTAACTCAAGACTTATGGTCACAAGCACAAAGTATTTGCTCTAAATCATGATGTTAACCTAATATTTCAAAATTGCAATATTTTGTCATGTCATGCTAAAAAAAATAATAGTGAAAATGTGTGTGACAAATTGTGCAATATCTTTTGATGTCATATTAATATGATTTTTTCTAACACAAGGTACTTGAAGACGTATGCAAGAAGCAAGGCTTCATTCCAGCAGAAGACTACAAACTTGTGTAAGCTCCTGACATAACCAGTCTGATACATTTAAATATATTATAGCCTCTTACCAGTAATGCTGAAATATATTTGAGTTTTGTTTTGTAACTTAACTTTAAAATCAACTGTACATACACCACTTATATTATCTACATGTTCAGTGTGAACTTTTTATGATACAAGTTTGATCACATCTCCTGCAACAAGCAATTATTTTCATTTTGCTTGAAGAGAAAGTTATCTTTCCCAGAAGGAAACAAAATTTGCTCCCCAGTTTAGATTCGGACTTGACTTTGGCACTAGATTGTTGAGAAAACAGTCGGTATATGTCTAATTGTTAGTAAAATGGTGTGTAGAAATTTCACAACTGATGAAACACACATTTATCATGATATAATCATTTTAGGAACTTAACATTCTTAAAGTAACAAGAATTCATCGAGTATATATATGTATAGCTGTTTGTTGTCAATATGCATAGATTTTTTCTTATCCTGACTCATGATCTTTTGCTTCTCCCTTTCCGTTTCGAATGGTAGTGGAACACTTGAATCCCTTGAAGTTCCCGAAGCCGATGTAAAAATACACTCACCCACGAGTTACCTCCCTTTTGCCCTTTTCCCGCGCAAACAGTCATGTGACCAGCCTTACTTGTCACTCTCTCCCCTTTTCACCCAAGCAGATGGTTGGGCAAGCACTGGAGTCCCTTATACAGCTTTTTATTTAGGTCCTATTCTTCAAAATTATGCTGTATATGGATTTGGCAATAACTACTATGTATTATTTCTAAACAAATTGTAAAAATTATTTGTATTTATGTCATAAATTCATCGTAATGTAACTTTGTTTACATATCATGAAATCTTGCAGTGTTTGCAGACACAGGTTATCTGTGGCTGATCCTCACCCCCAGTGCCCTTCGTGCACAAAACCATGTTCTTCCAGCTTCCGCTGTACTTATTGTGTTGATTTATCAAATCTTCAATTTAATCAATATTTCTCTTATATCTATATGTGCCATGGATCGGGTGAGGAAGTCATCTCAAGTCACGGCTGATAAAACAGGAGATCAGCCTACAAACCATATGTTGCTTGCTACTGCTGAAGTTCATAATACTGGTGTTATGTTCAGTACGTTGCAGGGGCAGTCTGCTGGTACAGGGACCAAGAAGAGATCGGCTACAACGCAGTTGACTCAGACTCAGGCTAAGAAAAAGACGTCATCTTCTTCTACATCGCAGAAGAAAGCATCTGTTACCAGATCAGAGGGTAAATCTGCGCGTGCTAGTAAGTTAACGGAGCAGAAATCCTTCAACGAAGAGATATTACCTTCGCATGAAGTAGACATTTTTGATCATCCCCCATTACTTCTACCCGAAGTACCTACGAGATCAGCGACTCAATCGACTTCTGCAACTACTAGTATCGTCCCCTGCAACGGTCACAGCAGGCCAGCTGTTTGACGAACTACCATCAACTTCTCAACGGAGTGAAGTTGAGGCGAAGAACTCATCAGCGTTCACGAACGCTTCATCTACACCGCAGCAGCTTCAACCAACGCAGAACTTCAACCCGGGGCGAATTTATGAGACAATTCACCAACCAGATGATGGCCATGTTGGAACGTAGGTTCGAGAAAGAAGCGAAGGCTCGGCGAAGCCTCTCATCTACCGACACCATGCGCAAACCTACGGACCTGCGCGAACCTACGGACCTGCGCAAACCTACTCCTCATAGAACTATGTCTCAAGACTACAATGGCGAACGTACACCTTTGCAAAGGTCTCCACAGTCGGACGACTCTGTCATCTTAGAGGAGGATAGAAGAGTTGTAGAGAGGTTCAGAATGATCCACCTACCTCAACTCAGACTACTCATCCGTCCAGCAAATTACATGGCCAGCATAGACCTACAGGATGCGTATCTACACATCCCCATACATCCAGAATCAAGAAATTATCTACGAAAGTATCAGAGGGCAGCACTTCCAATGGAACGTCCTACCGTTTGGAATATCTTCGGCTCCGAAGTTCTACTCGGTCTACTAACCTCGGCGCAGGACTTGACTCGCACAGGAAGGTTACAACTAAGACCGCTGCAATGGTTCCTGACAAAACATCTAGACAACATCAACCCAATCTTGCTGCCAGACAACCTCAAGAGGTATCTACTTTGGTACGTAAACGCTTCGATACAAGGCTGGGGTGCGCATCTCAACAATCAAGTTGCATCAGGAACGTAGTGCAAAATAGAGCAGCATCTTCACATCAATCTGCTAGAGATGAAAGCCGTGATCAACGCCTTGCAACTATGGTTGAGCTCACTGAACAACAAAATGCTGATGGTCCACACGGACAACTCTACAGTGGCATTCTCCATAAATCGGCAAGGATCCACAAGGTCTCCAAGCCTGCTACAGCTCACATTCCATTTGTTTCACATCACGGAGGAAGCAAACATCTGGATAAAGGCGTGTCACATACCCGGAGCCAAGAACGTACTTGCAGACGCTCTATCCCGACCACTACACCCGTTACCTGCGGAATGGATGCTCCATCCAGAAGCGTTTGTCTCACCAGAAGCGCTCCGGATTATCATAATGGAAATAGGATCCCCTTGCATAGACCTGTTTGCCCCGAGGTTCAACAAACAACTACAGACGTTTGTCTCACCAGTTCCAGATCCTCAAGCCTGGGCAACAGATGCACTGAGCATATCTTGGGAAGGACTAAATGCTTATGCGTTTCCACCCCCGATATTACTACCGAAAGTACTGTTGAAGATCAAACAGACACAGGTGCTACAACTGACTATGGTCGCGCCATACTGGCCAGCGAGAGTATGGTTCCTAGACCTAATAGAACATCTCGGAAGTCCAACAATCAAGTTACCAGATTGGCCGAACCTACTCATACATCTGCACACCAAGCAAGTCCACGGGAACCCGACAGCGTTCCAGCTACACGTGTGGACCGTATCAAGACATGTTTGAAGAAAAGAGGATACTCCGCCAGGGCAGCCAAGGCAGTAATACTAGCGTTACGCAGATCTACTCATAACCTGTATGATGACAAGTGGCTGAAGTTTGAGACTTATGCAAGGCAGAAAGGCTTCACTGCGATGAAAGCTACTCATCCTCAAGTGGCGGAATACCTGTGTCATCTTAGACAGACCAGACATCTGAAAGGTTCGACATTATCTACATACCTCGCCACCATCAGTACAGTGATTACCATGAAAACAGGCATCAAGTTGACAAAAGTACCAGAATTACTTGCTCTGCTGAGATCTTTTAAACTGGAGGACCAGCAAAAGAAGTTCAGAGCTACCTCCGAGACATAGCCACTGAAGACGTCTCAGGCATTCACCAATTTGGGCCTCTCGATGTAGCACAGCAACTTACGGTTCCTCAAAGGCACTGAGTTGGAAAATCTCACCCTTTATCACGTTGACTTGTTGATAACTTTTACTAAGGAAAAAGTATTAGTTTGAAAGTCCATTCGCACAGTCTAGGACAGGCTAGCATGAGTGATTAAAGACCCTGTACGGGTAAAGATCTTACCTGTACGTGAAGGGATCGCAACTCATTTATGATAAAGATCTTATCATAATCTATGGGTTGTTATAAGATATCTAGTAATAAGAAGATACTAGTTTATCTGTAGCCACATGAATCAACATGATTCAACTTGTCTGAGATTGAGGTAAGACAAGAAAGTGGTTCCCCCGAGTTATAACGGAAGTTGGAAGAAGAGGATCACGGAAATGCCGTTTCCCAGTTCCCATGGGGGGGATACAGGACGTATCTAAGGACAGCTGATGAATCCACGAAGTGGCTTAACCCACCACCAATCCGTCGGATTCTATAAGCAAAAGATCATAAGTCAGGATAAGAAAAAATATGTAATTTTTCAAGTAAAATTGATATTTTTATACTTATCCTGACGAGAAGCCCTCCCAACCTCCCCACTGAAGACATTTTTGATTTCACAGCAGATCCAAGTGCATGGGCAGAAAATCAGGAGAGAGTGACAAGTAAGGCTGGTCACATGACTGTTTGCGCGGGAAAAGGGCAAAAGGGAGGTAACTCGTGGGTGAGTGTATTTTTACGTCCGCGTCGGGAACTTCAAGGGATTCAAGTGTTCCACTTCCATTCGAAACGGAAAGGGAGATAAGCAAAAGATCATTTGAGTCAGATAAATTATAAAATCCTATCAATTTTACTTGAAAAATTACATTTGCAACATAGTGGAACACTTGTATCTCCTTAATTGAAGCTCCCTTCAATGTAAAATCACTAATTGGTACTCACCCACGAGTTACCTCCCCTGCCGTAAGCGGGAACAGGTGTCGCCACCCTCTGGCCTCATGCTTCACTCTCCTTCTTAGCCCAGTGAGCAGGATGTGAGAAGCGCCTGTGTCTCCTTACACACTATATCCTTTGGTTTTTCTTAGTTAGTTACCTTTTATAGTTTACTATAAAGGTATAGCTAGTATCCTTCAGTTATTTGCATTAATAATTAATCATTATTTCTACTGTTTATTCACGTGGAGTTAAGTGATTGTTCAGCTAGTTTTACATTGATGAAAAACTGTACTATTTGTAGATTACGTTTTTCGCCATGCGGATCATGTGGTATGCCCTAGTTGTACTCGCCTTGTGCGTTTGACTCCGCGTTGCAGTTACTGCATAAATTTAACCAATTCTGCCTTTGATAAATACCATCTTTGCGTCTTGAGGCGTGTTGCAGATAGGTCGCATAAACTAGGTGTAGACATGGCCGATCGTCGGATTGCCCATCCAGTCAACTGCTGTCGAGTGATCCCCTCCCGTCTGGTGTTCTGCTTGAGACCCCATCGGAAGAGGGGCGTGGGATGCAGTCCGTCACCTCTAAGAAGCGACCGGCCTCTCCAGACATCCAGTCATGCATGAGACAAAGTCCAAAGAGGGCCTCAAGCGTCTTCTCAGCGCAGACCCGTGCCCCAGGGCAGCGTCTTCCTCCAAAGGGAAATCTAC